GCCAGGCCCCAGGGGCTTGGACACTTACCCCTTTTCGCTGATGACTGACGGTAATGACCCTGGCAAGTAGCCTGGCCATGCCTATTTGCACACAGACTGTTGGATAGCCAGGCCCTGTGAAGAGTGGTGCTCAAGCGAGAGGCTTGAGCAGGCTCAGTGCACGTTTGGGTTAGGAGAACCTCCCTAACAAGATGGCTTAGTGCTTGCATCCTCCAGAAACCACAGGAGCCAGACGGAGCCTTCAGGGGTTGGGACTCAGAGGAAATCTGAGAAGATGAATGGATTATTTTCCTGACATCTCAAGATGTCAGATGGGATGGCTGGCCAACCCCGTTCTTGCTTGATTGTTGGGACCTCCTTGGCTCTAAGGCAACAAAAGACCCCATTTTCTGGTCACCTTTTCCTACTGAGGATCAAAAACTTTGATACAATAAGGATCAAGGGTGTTGATCCACCTCTTTCACAGCTAATTGACAAGCCTCTAGTTCAGGGAATCTTGTTATTAGGGCAATGGCCCCACTTGACATCCTGATAATCTCCATTCACAGCCACGGTGACCTCCTAGGTCCCTGGGGAATATAGGGGAGGCTGGGACTGGTTGAGACACAGAATTTTCAGAGAATTTTGTGGCCCTTCTGAAGTCCTTCCACTGGAAGCAGGCAATGGCCCAGTCTAACTCCAAGAAAAAGGAAGACATTCACTAAGATTTCATAAACCCCCAAATTGTTCCCAGTTGCCCCTCAGTTCATCTCCTTTGTCTCCTCCACACCCATATAACAAAAAATAAACAGAGCAAGTGGGAGAAGGGGGAAATTCCCTTACTACGTGCCAGGCATGGGACTGACATCCCACGGTCCATTATCTCCAGCAAGAACATAGCCCCATGCTTTTGAAGATTCCAGGACATCCATATTTTACTTATCAGGGAAGGTAGGTTCCTACCAAAGCAGCTTACTTAAAACAATAGGCTAGAGAAATTGTTGGTGTGGAGGATAACAGAGGAATTCTAATGCAATTATGTGGGACCATAGACAGAATAAAAGGAAAGATATTGATTAAACATGAATATTAAAAATATTCATTTACTATTTACAAGACAAGGTGTCCACTATTTATTCACTAATGCACCCCTCTCACAAATACATGCCAGGCTTTGTGCTAGGTCCTGGTTGTGCAGCCATAAACGAGACTCTGCCCCTGTCTAATGGGGCTTACATTCTACATTCTAGTGGGAAAATAGCCACTAAAGAAGATAATTACTGGTGCTACAATGAAGGAAATCATCAAGGTCATATGATAGGGATTCATTAAGGCAACTTTAGGTAGGGTAGACCTACTATGTGCTCTGGACGTAAATGCCACAGTTGGCTTTTATAGAATCTTTACTATGTGCCACACACTGGGATAAGTGCTTTCAAATGAAGTGTTTTACTTAGTTTCCACAATAACCTGACCACAAGGGTCCTGGTACCCTCATTTTATGGATAAGGAAACATTTAAGAGGCAAAATCACCGGACTGAGATCACACTGCTGATATGTACCCAAAGCTGGGGTTTCCACAGCCTGCCGCCTTTACCATTAACCTCTTGGCTTAGTTCTGCCAAATGCTGCTTGATTAGGAATAATGCTTGATTTCTATAACATCAGATTGCTTCAATCTTAACTCACCATTTTTTCTCAACCTACTTCATTTTATGTCCTGCTCAGTTGGTAGAACATGCCACTCTTGATCTCCGGGTTGTGAGTTCGAGCCCCATGTTGGGTGGAGAGATTACTTAAAAATAAAAATCTTTAAAAAAACATTTTTCCACCAAGTGGCCTAAAACAACAGAAACTTATTCTTTCATGGAAGCTTCTGGAAGCTGGAAGTCCAAAATCAAGGCATCACCAGGGGCATGCTCCCTGCAAAGTTTCAAGGAGAGTATCCTTCTTTGCTTCTTCCGCCTTTTGGCAGCTCCTGAAGTTCTTCAGCTTGTGGCAAGATAACTCCAATCTCTACCTCAGTCTTCATAGGACACTCTTCTCCCCACCTTCTCTTGGTGTCCTCTTTTAAGCATGTCAATCATTGGATTAAGGCACATTCTAATCCAGTATGACCTCATCCTAATTTAACAAATTACATCTATAAAGACTATTTCCAAATAAGGAAACATTCACTGGTTCTGAGTGTACATGAAATTTGGGGAGGACATTATACAACTCAGTACAGCCCCCCAAGGACAAAGTCAACTCCTCAAGTACAGCCCATATCATGGACTGTGTTAAGTGGCAGTCACTTGCTAGTCTCTCCCCATGAGATGAGCTCCACGTTCATCTCTTGGTCCCCAGTGCTCCCTGACAATCCAGCATAGAGCCTTTTTTTTCTTCAAAATTTTTATTTAAATTCTAGTTAGTTAGCAGATAGTATAATATTGTTTTCAGGAGTAGAATTTAGTGATTCATCACTTACATGTAACACCCAGTGTTCAACATGACAAGCGCCCTCCTTAATACCCATCACCCATTTAGCCCATCCCCCACCCACATCCCTCCATCAGCCCTCAGTTTGTTCTCTTTTGTTAAGAGTCTCTTATGGTTTGCTTTCCTCTCACTTTTTTTTTCCTTCCCATATGTTCATCTGTTTTGTTTCCTAAATTCCACACATGAGTGAAATCATACCGTATTTGTCTTTCTCTGACTGAATTATTTCGCTTAGCATAATACACCCTACCTCCATCCATGTCATTGCAAATGGCAAGATTTCATTCTTTTTGATGACTAAGTAATATTCCATTATATATATATCCCACATCTTTATCCATTCATCAGTCGATGGACACTTGGGCTTTTTCCATAATTTGGCTATTGTTGATAACAGCATAGAGTCTTTTTTTAATATTTTATTTATTTTTGAGAGAGAGAGAGAGAGCACAAGCAGGGGAGAGGGGAGTGGGGAGGGGCAAAGGGAGAGGCAGACTCCCCACTGAGCAGGGAGCCCGATGCAGGACTCAATCCTAGGACTCTGGGATCATGACCTGAGCCCAAGGCAGACGCTTAACTGCTTAACTGACTGAGCCACCCAGGTGCCCAACAGCATAGAGTCTTAAGAGGGCGGGTCAATATCTGTGGAATCAAACTTCTCCCGAAAAGCATTTTGGAACATCAAATTTTCTTTTAATCCAGATACCTATCTTTTTGTAAGGCAAAGACATGGCATGAATTTTTAAGGTAAATTTGCGATTCCTTAAAGTTTGGGCATACCTTTCTTTATTCATTGGTGGGGTCTTTTTTCCTTTTATCAAAGAAAATGCCCAAGTGCCTGGCATATATCCATACTCAGTAAATATTTAATGTTTAATGAATAAAACTAGAGTTTAAAAATCATTGAATTAAATGCACTTCCACACTTTCTCCATCTCTCTTTTCACATTCACACTCCATTTCTGCTCTAAATAGAGAACTAGTTTATGGAGGAGAGCAAGCAGAGAAAGGGGACCCTGGATGTGACAGAGAGCTACCCTCATTGTTTAGATGAGGGAACGGACCCAGACAGTGGACAAGACTTGCCCAAGAAGCCCCAACAAGGTGGTATCCAGTGCTCGAAATGCAGGTTTCCCAATTTCCAGCTTTGTTCACCTCTGTCATCATGTCCCTCATCTGTCCCTGCAGATTTACATGTTGGTTATGAGGATAAGGAGAAGTGAAGGTCACGGTGTCCCATTTTATCTTCCCCATGATGAGTTCTCTAACATCAAAGACCATTACTCACTCTGATCACTAGAAGGTGTGTGCAAACAAAATGGATTTTGTTTTGATTTTTTTTTTTTTGAGGTGTCCCTGCTTACTGTTCTGGGCACTATTTCAACATAATCTTGGGGAGAAAAAAACACCGAAGATAAAATAGCTGTTCAATCAGCAACAGCTACTGTGTTTCCTTATCACTCCTAAAATGAGGAAGTGCTTGGTTCTGTCAACACAGGGCCCTACACCTCCCAGGGTGCAAGAGGGAAGCGGCTTGTTGAGAGGCACAGATTTCACACCAGGATCCTTGGATTCTGGTCCCAACCCTGCTCAAACTAGCAGTGTGATCTTGGGCGCCTCCAATCCCCTCTGTGGGTCTCAGTTTCCTCCTCCGTAAAATGGGAAGAATTGGGAAGGGGATAGTGTCGAGGATCTCCGAAGTCCCCTCAGACTCTGGTACGCTGCAGTTCTCTCCCTGATAGGTGCGGAGTGGCTGTGCCAGGTGGGGTCATTAGACCTTCCCCACCTGATGACCTCACTTCCTGTTTGAGCACAACAGCGTGTACAAATTGTAGAGGAACCGGTGGCCTCCTGCCAGAGAAGGTTGACCCGGACACTCCTTGGGCCTGGGGCTCCCAGTTTTCTCACCCTGCTACTATAAATATGTTCTTTTGTGGTAGTCTGTGCATGGGTCTTATTTTCCCAATTACACATTAAGCTCTTTGTATTGCCTCAGAATTCCCAAAGCAAGCTCCGTAAATATTAGACAGTCAAAATGATCACAGAGGCTCTTCCTCATTCAGTGCCCACCTTTCTCCCTCCGCTCCCCTGGTAATACTTCCTTCCCCCATCCTCCTCCCAGTTATTTCGCCAGGACTGTCACAATGCCTTTCCATCTGGTATTCCTGCCTCCCGGCTTGTTCTTCTATACTACAGTTCAAGATGTCCCCTATAGCTCCCAGTAGCAAAATGGACTACTCCCAGCTCTCGGCACGCACTGGGCCTTTCACACCCCCCACGATTTAACCCCGCTGTGAAGTCTCTTCCCCAGTGTTCATTCGTCCCGCCGAGCGCGGTCAACGACGCTTTGTGTTTTTCTCCTTTCGAGCGCCAGGGGGCGCTGCAGGAACGGCCGACCCGAAGGGGAAGACAGTCGCCAAGCCGCCTGGTTGACACGCCCCCTTTCCCTTCCGAGCCAATCATTAGTGAGAGTGGGCGGAACCGCGCGGCCTGTACCTGCGTGTTAAGAGGTGGCGGTGGAAGTTCGGAGGCAGCGACGCGGCCTTCCGACATGAAGTCGAGGGCGGTGGGCCCTGGGCGGCGGCGGCTGCTGCTGCTGCTGCTGCTGCTACTGCTACCGGTGCTCCGAGCGGCGTACGTGCGCGGGGCCCAGGGTTCGCGCCGCTACACCCCGGACTGGCAGAGTCTGGACGCCCGGCCTCTGCCCGACTGGTTCGATAAGGCCAAGTTCGGGGTGTTCGTGCACTGGGGCGTGTTCTCGGTGCCGGCCTGGGGCAGCGAGTGGTTCTGGTGGCACTGGAAGGGCGAGGGGCTGCCGCAGTATGAGCAGTTCATGAGCGACAACTACCCGCCCGGCTTCAGCTACGCCGACTTCGGGCCGCAGTTCACCGCGCGCTTCTTCCACCCGGAAGCCTGGACCGACCTTTTCCAGGCGGCCGGGGCCAAGTGAGTGTCGCCGCGGGGACCAGCGGAGCCCCCCTTCCCGGCTCGGGCTGACGTTAGGCAGGTGGGAACCGAGTGGGGGCGGGAGGGGGGCCGGGGTCGCTCAGCTGCCGGTCTGACTTCGGGTGCCCGCGGGTCCTGTGATTTGCCTCCCGACGGATGCAAAACTGAATGTGGCGCGACCGATCACGCGAAGGAGGCGCGTCTGCTTGAGGGTTAGAAAGCAGTAAAGGTTTTCAGGGAGGTGGTGGGCTGGAAAGCCCTCGGTGTCTACGCCTGTATATCGAGACGATCGAGCTGTGTGATACCTAATGTCCCTTCCAGGTCATCAAGACAATCAGGATTCCAGAATTTTCATCCAGTGGTCTGGCGTTTTGTCACCTCCCTGCAGCCTCCTTCCGTGGTGATACAAAGGGGTTGTATTAGTTCCTTTCAGCTTTAACATCTCCCAGAGGAAAAGGGAGGGAAAGAGAGTGCGCAGTATATTTGGACAACGGGACCGATTCTCACTCACCTGCTCTTCTCAATGCCTTGCACACAGAGTGCCCAAGAGGTGTTTGAAATATTTTGAGAGCTGTCTAAGCTTGCGTGCAGAGGATTCAGAGAAGTGAGAGTGTGGCGTGGCGTGCTGAAGTGGGGAAGGGAGAGGCTGTTGAAGGCTGGGGCCAATCCGGAAGGACTAACCTCGAGGGCAGTATGTTGCCAGGTGAAGTCGGAGAATGGTTGCCCCCAGCTTCTAGAAGAGTTAGCTTGGCGGCCAGGAGGGAAGCGGGTTGGAGGAGGGTAGGAACGGAGGCAGGGAGGTTTTCCAGCTCCTGGCTTAGAGCGGTCTTCCACCCTTACCTTGTCTCCTCAGTCACCTCCTGGGTTTTAGTTAACCTTGGACAAGTTTTCTTGTACTAAAGAAAATTTACAGCTGATGTTTAGTGTTTGCCGATAAATGTATGGGAATATAAGACTCAAATAAACACAGGTGGTGGTCACTGTCTAATAGGAGCCTTAGAGATCCCTAATTTACAAATTAAAAAAAATTGAAATCTGGAAGACCTTTGCCCAGGCCCCTTATTTTGTGGCCCAGGTGACAAGCCCAGATAGAGGAAGGGAACTAATGTCCTACGTCCTTTGTCTATGGCAAAGGTTCCTTTCACCATACCAGGGGTCTGCAAACTGTGGCCAGAGAGATAGGTCCTTTGCCTGTTTCTGTAAATTCCATGAGATGAGAACAATTTTTACACTTTAAAAAGGGTTAGAAAAGAAAAAGAATATGCCACAGAGAGGAAGGGAGCCCACAAAGGCTGAAATACTATCTGGCCCTTAAAGTTTTAGAGCTCCTCACACCAGCCAGTGATTAAATTATCATGTGCATGCATCATTGGGTTTTTTGCCATATGAGCAAATGAAATGTTGAGTGTTATTTCATCACTGCACTTTTCTCCCCAGCTCTTTTGGTCTTTTGTCACCTCTATAAATGAAAGGCAGTTCATATGACCTTTTCTTTTACTTTTCTATCATCTGCTATTTCCAGAACGAGAGAGCTAAGGTGCACTTCTTTTCCCTTACTTACTCCTTCCTTCCCTCTGGGCCTCCTCCTTGGCTGGGGACTAAGGACTCTGGCTTCCTTAAGTTTGCTTCCATTCCTGGAACAGTACCCACAGGGAGATGTGACTGTAGCACCTTCTTGGATATCACCAACACAGTCACGCATGCAAGTACATTTCCTGTGGTCAAGTTCTCCCAACCTTTTTTAAAACCTCAGGCATGCTGGGTAAGCTCATGCTTCTGGCCCACCACCTGCTTCCTTTGCTCATGTAGTTTTGCTGTCCACAGGTATGTAGTCCTGACGACAAAGCACCACGAAGGCTTCACAAACTGGCCAAGCCCTGTATCTTGGAACTGGAACTCTAAGGATGTGGGTCCCCATCGTGATTTGGTGGGTGAGTTGGGAAAAGCCCTCCGGAAGAGGTAAGTATCTACAGATGGTTACTCTGTCATCTCTTTTGATCTATCATTCCTCTCTGCTGTCGTGTGTTTTCTAAGTCTGCATGTAGTGAGTAAACCTGAAGGTTTCTGGCCTTTGAATTAGCAGTGTTTGATGTTCGGCACTTTTCATGTGACCAAAGGTGATATCATCAGAGAAGTTCATGGCCCTGTTTAGGTGAGGGATACCCAGTGTAGACCACAGTGCCTCATATGCATTCTGTGAAGGATTCTTTCTGGAAGGCCTTCCAACCCAAGGCCTTTTCCAGTGTCTGATGAAGGACTGGCTCTGTCATCTTTGTGTCCCCCCTCAGCTGTCAACATGCAGCTTTGCGGGCATTCAGAGAAAGTCTGGATGAATCCTAGGTCAAGAGGGAACTGACAAGGGCGGCAGTTAAGGGAGCCAGAAAGTGAGGTAAGGAGCAGCTTGGTTGATTCTAATTAATGCTCCCTAATGTTTGCCACTTAATAAGAAGTAACTTCCCAAGATCAAATAGCTTGGAAGTGGCAAAGGTGGGATTTGAACCCAGTTATTCTGGTTTGGGACCCTACAGTTCTGGGTATGATTACCTATAGAGAGGAAAAGTGGTATTTGTACTTTACCCCATCTCAGCTTTGTTGTGATTTGGTAAACTTCATGCCCTATTTAAGGAGTAGGCCAGCTACCTGTTTGTCTAAATAAAGTTTGATTGGAACACAGTTACACCCACTTATTTATATGTTGTGTCTGTAGCTACTTTCAAGTTACAATTTCAGAGTTGGAATAGAGACCGCAAGGCTTGCAAAGACTGAAATGCGATGTGGCCCATAAAGAAAGCATCTGCTGACTCTGGTCACCTGGTCAGTATTCAGTTGCCCAGTGCCGCGCACAGAGTCCTGCAAAGTGAAAACAGTCCTGCTGTGAAAGTCACATGCTGATTAGATTGGGTTTTATGGTCCTTGATTTTTACCTTTTTTGTATGTATTAGTTCCCGAGTCATATGATGAAATATCTAACAACTCTTCCTGTGTTATCTGTGCTGCTGCCATGGTATCCTTACTTCTCACCGCAGGATGGCGTTTCCGGGACACTCCCCATTCATAACTGAAAACAAGTTTTATTGTGTACAAAAACAGGTCACTTCGACTCTTTCATTTTGGTTGAGAATTCTTAACATTTTAATGTTAAAAACTATTAGTAAATCTTAAATAAATGAAACAATAAACCCATGTTCATTAATTTCAACTACGTAGAAAATGTTACTAATGACTATATCCGAGTGATGAGATTTGGGATGTTTTATTCTTTATACTTTTTTCTATTTTCCAGTATCTCTACAATATGTATTCTTAGGACTGACAGAGAAAACAGTTTTTAAAAAGGACTGTGTATTATCACTGAGATAACGGACATAGATAAAAGATGGTTTAAATGACATTTGAGGGGCGCCTGGGTGGCTCAGTCGGTTAAGTGTCTGCCTTCGGCTCAGGTCATGATCTCAGGGTCCTGGGATTGAGTCCCGCATCGGGCTCCCTGCTCAGCAGAGAGTATGCTTCCCCCACCGCCCTCCTCGCCGCTTATGCTCTCTCCCTTCTCTCCAAATAAATAAATAAAATCTTTAAAAAAAAGTGACATTTGATGTTAAGGTATTTATGTATAGAAAGTAATCCTGTGTGTGATCAAAAACCCAGTCATTTTGTTTAAGTTAATGATGAGATAATTTAAGGAAGTGGTTTGTGATCCCACTTGCCCCTGCACGCCCTTACTGGTGAGTTTCACTGAGATGTAAAAATGCTGCCACTGATTTTTCTTAAACCACATTATTTTTTCTTTGTTTAATGGACATTTGCTGTTCTGTTTTTCTGTTTAAGGAACATACGTTACGGACTCTACCACTCACTTTTAGAATGGTTCCACCCACTCTACCTACTTGATAAGAAAAATGGCTTCAAAACACAGTATTTTGTCCGTGCAAAAACAATGCCAGAGCTATATGACCTTGTTAACAGGTAAAAAAAAAAAAATATATATATATATATATATGTTTTTGTCCTTATGACTTTTATCAGTGAAATCAGAGCTTCCTATAGGATACTTCTAAGTTGTGGGAAGGGGGAAAGGAAGGAATGTGGAAAAAAATCTGTAAGACATCAAAATGAAAGTAATGGTTTGCATTAAGACAGAATATATTTTTTCCTCCTACTGTTCAAAACTCCCATAATGTGGTCATATTGCTTTTGTAGACTGAAACGAACAAACTGAGGGTGGGGGTTTTAAGTTTTTAAGTCAAAACTTCAGTCCCTCCTTGCATGCTGGTTTCTTTGTCAGGACCTTGGAGAGGGGCAACAGGGCCCCAAGGACCCAGCAAAGGATTTGGCATCTGGCAAGATTTGCATTCGAATTCTGGCTCTTGTTGTTCACCAGCCTTAAAGAACCATCCTTCTGAGCCTCAGATTCTCAATCTGTAAAGTAGGGAAATAATGCCTTCGATACAGGGCTCAGAATAACATGTGAAAAGTATCTGTCACCTTGGCTGGTACAGAATAAGGGTGGTGTTATCATTTTTTTTCCTTAAAATGATCACTTTCACTTTGGGATTCATCACTAGTCTTCACCATGCTTTATTTCTAGTTTGCCCTTCTTGCACCTGGGGGCTGGCTCATAGAGGATGGTGGACCTTTAAAGCTCTAGGCGCAGCCATCTCTTCCTGGACTCTCATTTTAGACCAAAACCAAAAGAAAATTCCTTGCATCCAGGTGACCTCCCTAAGGAAATAGTAGGTTGTAAGAGACCAGCAGAGGCTTGGAATCAGACAGAACTGGATCTGAAGTCCACTTCTTTTTCTTGCTGGCTGTGTGGCCTTGTATAAACTCCTTAATCTTTCTAGATCTCAGTTGCTTCATCTGTGAAATGGGGATAATATACACCGCAGGGTTGTTGTGAAAACTAAGGAAGTAATGGGTATAAAGTGCTTAGTACAGTTTTTCATTCACAGTAAAACGCAGACCATCTGCATTATACTTGCCTCTTAGACAGGCAGGCTTTTCCCAGGAGTCCACTTGCTGTCCTGATTACAGAGGACAGCATGGGATCAGGCATTGACAGATACGCATTTGAGTTCCAGCTCCTATTGCTTGTAAGTTTTGTCACCTGAAAGAAATTGCCCTGCTGAGCATCCAGTTCTTGCTCTCTAAATGGGAATAATTATGCTTACCTTATAGGTGTGTGTGCATGCACACACACACACACACACACACACACTCACGCCACATAGAGGTCAGAGTGGAATATGTGAAAGGTGCAGCTGTTGCTTAGGTGGACTGTAGAGATCCCTTATAGTTGAAGCTTTGGGTAGTTGTCCAAAACAATGCATTTCCTGAAATAGTTCAAGCTCTTAAAACATTTTTTTTAATTAAAAATACAGATAATTTTTTAAATTTAAATTGTAGTTAATAAGTAATGTATTACTAAGTTCAGGGTAGAGTTTAGTGATTCATTAGCTGCATATAACATCCAGTGCTCATCATATCACGTGCCCTCCTGATGCCCATCATCCAGTTACCCCAGCCCCCCACCCACCTCCCGTCTAGCGACCCTCAGTTTGTTTCCTAGAGTTAAGAGTTTCTTATGGTTTGCCTCTCTCTCTGTTTTTAACTATTTTATTTTTGCTTCCCTCCCCCTATGTTCCTGTGTTTTGTTTCTTAAATTCCACCTATGAGTGAAATCATGGTATTTGTCTTTCTCTGACTGACTTATTTCACTTAGCGTAATACACTGTAGTTCCATCCACATCTTTGCAAATGGCAAGATTTCATTCTATTCGATGGCTCAATTATATTCCTCTCTGTGTGTATGCATGCGTGTCTGTGTGTGTGTGTGTGTGTGTATGCCACATCTTCTTTATTTTCCATATTTTGGCAATTGTGGACATTGCTGCTAATAAACATTGGTGTGCACATGCCCCTTCAAATCACTATTTTTGTATCCTTTGGATAAATACCTAGTAGTGCAATTGCTGGGTCATAGAGTAATTCTATTTTTAACTTTTTGAGGAACCTCCGTACTGTTCTCCAGAGTGGCCTCCCCAGTTTGCATTCCCACCAACAGTGCAAGAGGGTTCCCTTTCTCCGCATCCTCGCCAACATCTATTGTTTCCTAACTTGTTAATACATCTTAAAAGCAGGAAGCTTAATTCTATAGTTCTAGAGCACCACTCTTTTCATTGGAATTAGTTGGTGCAAGGAAACCAAATTGTTTATATACTGATTACAACCCTATTTTTTCAGAAGACATTGAAAAAAGATTAGGAGGAAATGTTCCAAAATAGTGTATATTAAACAGTGGTTATGTGAGCGACCTTAGCAGAGTTACGGTGTTGTTTTGTCTCTTTAGTTTTCCACATTGTCTGCACCATGGTAATTAAATGGTACTTTTCAAAATGGGAGAAAATCTTAAAATATCTGTTACAAAATAGATCCGTAAGACTTTACTGTGAATAGATTCAGATAACAAACCTCGTCCTAATCGCGTGTCTTTCAGGTATGAACCTGACTTGCTTTGGTCTGATGGAGAGTGGGAATGTCCTGATACTTACTGGAACGCTACGGCGTTTCTTGCTTGGCTCTACAATGATAGCCCAGTCAAGGCATGTGATTGTATGACTTCTCTCTTATTTATCTGTTAGGTGAAAAGAAAGAGTGAGGAGCCAAGATCTGGAGTAATAACAGTGACAACAGCAACAATAATAAATACTAGTAGTGACACGGAGGTGGTAGGGACCAGGGGACTTTGTGGATGTTAAAGGTTTCTCCTTTAATTCTTTTCCCCACCTTCCTTAGAGTATAAGCTTTCTTTTTCGCCTTTAATTCTTGATTTTGACAACAGAGGTATAAAGCTTGTTAAATTTAAGTAGTAGAATAGAAGCAGTACGTAAAAGTCCCAGAGACTCAGAGAAAGTAAAATAAACTATTAAGCACGCAAACATTATAAATGAGAAAAACATCCAAAAAATGAATATACAAAACATACACAATTAAATGATAAGAATAAGATGGCAAATATTTATGCCCTCATCGATCTATGCTGGTTAGGCAGTTTAACTCTCAGGAAGGAATTTCATTTCTCCTACATCCACCATAGATTAGGTGAGATCATACCTGGATCCTACCTACTCGGATCAGTGTTCCCCATTTAAGTTAGATAAGTAACTCTGATGTGATGTCATATTGTCCACATACCTGTCTACTCAGCCAGTCTCTGCTGGATCTCTAAGGGCAAGGACTGTTTTATTCACCTTGGATACCCCAGTACAAGAATCACAGTAGTGTTAATCATTAACATTAAGATATTCTGAGGGGCGCCTGGGTGGCTCAGTCGGTTAAGCGTCTGCCTTCAGCTCAGGTCATGATCCCAGAGTCCTGGGATCGAGCCCCACATCGGGCTCCCTGCTCAGCTGGAAGCCTGCTTCTCCCTCTGCCTGCCACTCCCCCTGCTTATGCTCTCTCTCAAATAAATTTTTAAAAATCTTTTTAAAAAGAGATACCCTGCATAATGATTTTTTCATAGTTCAGGAAAGATTTGAAGGAAAGAAAATCTTTGCTGACTTTTCTTTACCTAGGAAAAGAAAGTCAGGGCCATGTAGTGGAAAGCATCCTGGGCTGAGTTCACATACCCGATTCACAGTCCCAGCTTCCTGAATCTCTGCCCCGGGGGTGTGACCTCGGGCACGTCTTCTCCCCCCATTCCTCCTTTAATAGAAGAAGTAGTTTACCAGATGATCTTTAAAACAGGCTCTCTCAGCCCTGACATTACATGTGGCTTGACTAGGGTTTCTCAGCCTCAGCGCTATTGACATTTGGTGCTGGATATTTTGTTGTGAGGGGGCTGTCTTGTTTGTCCTAAGACATTTAACAGCATGCCTGGCCTCTGCCAACTAGATGGCAGTAGCACCACCCCAACGGTGGCAACCAAAAATGTCTCTAGACTTTGCCAAAAGTCTCTTAAGCAAAATAGCCCCCAGTTGAGAACCGTTCTAGACCAGGTCTCTTCATTATATCCAAACACACAATTTACCAAACTGCATTATGTAAGGAAACAAAGTGGTTTTACCCCAGATGACCCAGTACTCTCTTCTTTTAGGATCAGGTAGTGGTAAATGACCGGTGGGGTCAGAATACTTCCTGTCACCATGGAGGATACTACAACTGTCAAGATAAATTCAAGCCAGAGATCTTGCCAGATCACAAGTGGGAAATGTGTACCTCCATAGACAAGGCCTCCTGGGGCTTTCGTCGTAACATGGTGATGGGGGACATTGCAAGTGACAGTGAAATCATTTCGGTAAGAGCACCTGTGAGTTATTTGTTAACTACTGTCTCAAATTAGCCTTCTAACTAGGAGTGATGGGAGCACTCTGGATGGAAGTGCAGGTTGATAGAACCCCCTGGGGTCATTGAACATACCTGTAGAAACCTGTCCTGGGGCATCTGGGTAGCTTAGTTGCTTAAGCGTCCAACTTTTGGTTTCGGCTCAGATCATGACCTTGGAGTTGTGAGATTGAGCTCCACATCAGGCTCCGTGCTCAGTGTGGAGTCTGCTTGGTATTCTCTCTCCCTCTCCCCCTCTAACCCCCTCAAATAAATAAGTCTTAAAAAAAAAAAAAAAACTGTCCTAAGGAAATAATTGTAATTACAGAAGAAAGTCTTACATATAGAGATGTTCTTCCCAGAATTATTTGCAGTTGGATATGTGGGTTGTTTTAATTTCTTACAGCCATAAAGGGATATTTAAGTAGATTTGGGGATTTTCCTTAACCATTAAAATTTTTATGAATGTAATATAGGTCAATGCCTAGGGTTTGAATGAAAAAATAAGTTACAGATTATCACAACTATATAAAATATATTTCCACTGCACAGGGAAAAGACCAGAGGGAATATCAAAAGTTGATGGTGTGGTGTCTTTGGGGTACTGTAACACATTCTTTTTTAAGTTTTCTGAATGTAGTTTTTCTGGGTCCACTTGAAGCGTACCCATTTAAGATCACAGTAAACACGCACACACACGCACACACCATGCACACCACACCACTCCAGAAGCCTTGAAGAATATATCCCTTTACAGCATGTTTTCCCAAAGGGACAGCATATACATTTATGTCACCCATTTCATACAGAGTGTCCCAAATTCTGCGGATCTCTTCCATGTCCCCCAAGTCTCCCTGGCACCCACTCAGAACCTCTGTCCTCTGGTCCCCATACTCTCTCCTCATGGCTCCATGTGATCACAGCCAGGTGCTTTGTTCTCAGCTTCCCTGATCACACTCTGTGCTGCTGGCACACAGCCCATTCCACTGCACGCCGCCCCCGGGGAAGCGCAGGCCCGTGATCACTCCATGGAATTCAAGTTAATGTATTTCTCCACTCTGTAGCAGGATTTTTCAGTTTTCTCATATAAGCCCGTCCTGCTTTTATGCTGACAAAAAATAGAGAGCCTTTTCAAAAGGGTAAAGGATATTCACCGGAGGAGAGAATGTGCCCTAGATTCTTTTTCTTCTTTTAATACCTGTGTGCTATAAGCGTTATGCTGGGCTTGGCAGTCGTCACTAGGATTTCATTGTTTCTTTTCTCTCCAGGAACTGGTTCAGACGGTGAGCTTGGGAGGCAACTACCTTCTCAACATTGGACCAACTAAAGATGGACTGATTGTTCCCATCTTCCAAGAAAGACTTCTTGCTGTTGGGAAGTGGCTGAGCATCAATGGGGAGGCTATCTATGCCTCTAAACCATGGAGGATACAACTGGAAAGGAACACGACGTCCGTGTGGTGAGCTTGTCCTCTGTTGCATGCGGGAACAGGACAAGCCCCTCCCTGGCTGGCGTCTCCTCCGGTCCACAGTGTTACAAGCTAGGGTAGAAGCCATCTTGAGGAAACCCCAAAGCTGTGCTTCTGCTATTAAATTTGTACCCCAATTTATGTATTAAGCCACCAAGATATCTTTGACTAGTGAGAGGTATGGTGCGCCTGGTGAAAGGAAGAGCTACAGAGTGTCTGTGAATACACTTGACCTTGTTACCCTGCCTCCTAAAAATAGTAATAGCCAATGCTTGCACAGCACCTCCAATGTTTAAGGCTCCAGTCCAAATTCTTTCCACTCACTGAATCCCCTCAACAATCGCACCAAGTGGATACTGTTATTATCCCCATGTTACAGGTGAGAAGGGGGACCCAGGGCAGCTCTATACCTTGCCTAGGATCACAAAGCTAACTCGTGGAGAAGTCGTGATTCAAACTTGGATTTGTGGATCTAGTTATTTAACCTTGGGCCTGTGTTTTTCAAGTGTGAAATGGGGTGATGATACTTAACAACCTGTGGTTGTTATGGAGGTGAAGTGTGTTAATTTATGTAAAGCGCCCCAACAGAGCACCAGGTGCATGCAAAGTGTTCGGTGAAAGGCATCTGCGCATGTGGTACCATTGGACATAGCTCTTTGCGTCAGGGGAAACCGGTTCATCCTTCTGTTTGGGGTGGATTCCTATTTAGTGATTTTCACCCTCTTCTCTAAGCATGGTGAACTCTCAGAACAAATCCGTCTTCACTGCACATCTTACTGGGTCCTCTGTTGTTTTCCCAAGGATCTGGAGTTGAAAAAGATTTGAATAAAAAGGCAAATGGCTTCAGTGTGAAATAACTAGTGTAAGCGTTAAAAATGTTTAAAGAAAACTTATAACCCAATAGAGAGGCAAAATGGAAGCAATCCCCAGAAAGAGCCTTACAGGACTGCTTTCTTAATACCTATTAAGGTCCCACAGACCTTAATAGGTATTGAGTTAGTAGCACTTCCTAGCGGCACTGACAGACTCAATGTGTTGGGATTGGTAGATAATTGTAAAGGGGATATATGAGGCTATGTGTCAGGGTCCCAAGCACTGGTCCCTGACGCCGACCTTTCTTTTTTTCCCAGGTATACCTCAAGAGGAACAGCTGTTTATGCCATTTTCCTGCACTGGCCAGAAAATGGAGTCTTAAACCTTGTATCCCCTGTAACTACCTCGACTACACAGGTGAGGAGCCTCCATCAGTCCGATCCGAGAGGTTGGAGGTCTTCTCTACTTTTTCCTTCCTGTGCCAGGTCTCCCCCATATTGACCCCCCCACCAAGACTATCTGCCCTGACCTGGCCCAGTGTGGCTGTCTTCCGTCACGTTCAAGCCATATTCTGTACTCAGTGCACCATCCCCTTTTGCTTTCTGCAGATAACAATGCTGGGGATCCAAAAAGATCTGAAGTGGTCCACAGATCCAGAAGAAGGTCTGCTCATTTATCTGCCCCAGTTACCACTCTTTACTCTGCCAGTTGAGTTTGGTTGGACTATCAAGCTGACAGGAGTGCATTGATCATTGGAGTTCAGGCAGAACTGCCTCCTATTTGCTGCTTTGGTTTTCCTTTTATAGCACCATCGTTGTAATAAACTACTTCTCTACTCACAGATGGCTTTTCCAACACATTTTAATCAAAGGAACTGAGTGCATTATACTGATGTCTCAATGGATCAGAGATCTGAGATCCATTGCTAGCATACCTCTCCCTGATCAGCAGGAGGCACTAACCAGTTAAGCTCTGAATTCATCCTTCTATTCCTAACCTGGGAAATGATCTATCCCGGAAACTTCCCTCCATTCTCTATGTTTGAAACCTGTCTCCTTAATCAATGACTTGAGATAAGGAGTGAGCCAAGTGACCCTACTGCCTGTGGAAGGAGGTGAAAAGGATTTGGCGAGCTCAACCAGATGCTGTGTATTTAGCATCAGTTGTGACCAGCACCACTTGGAGAAGAGGAGAGCCTGGAAGGGAAGGAAAAGGCTTGCCAGGGTTGCTAGTGATCAGCCCTTTGGAAGTTTCCAAAGCAAACCAGGGGCTCAGAAAGTCACAAGTAAACAGTGGTCTTATGAAGAAAATGAATGTGATTCTGCCCTGCTTTTTAAAATATCAAATAAATAAATTTTTGTGTCAAATTGTTTCTACCAAAAAGCATGTTGTAGTTTTCTTCTCCCAGTTTCTTATGGACTGCTTATGAAAAGCTTTGTTTGTTTAAAAAAAAAAAGGACTTGCCAAGTCTCCTTAATGCAGAACAAAGAACAAAATCTCTTTGGTTTTTCTGCTTCTCACTTCTAGTACCATTCTTTTGAGTTGGCTATCAGTTCAGCCCCTTTAATTATTATAGATCTAATCAGATTTTCTATTTCCTTTTTATTTAATAGCTATGTTTATAAATTTTTACCCAACATTTAAGGAATATTTGTTTTTCTCAAGCACATGGAATATTTACAAATGTAAATACCAAAGGAGCATTATCATAGACTTGTATGACTGCAACATAATTAAAGGACCATAAAGAATAAAAACTTGGAGGAAAAAAAAACTATATGAAAATTTTAAAACATACTTCAAAATAACTCACTGATCAAAGAAGGCACCATACAAGGAATTAGAAAATACTTAGAATAATAATGAGACCACTGTGTACTGAACTTTGTGAGATGGAATGAAGTCTTTAGAGAGGACCCTGGGAAGATGACAGGAGGCACCAGGAATCTGTCTCCCGACCTAGACAACAAGTACATTGGCAGAATTTGGTGGATCTCTTGGAGAAGTCCGGAGTCTACGAAGGCTCCAGCCTCCAGAGGAAGATTTGGATGATAAATTGTGGTTTTGGTCAATTCACCTACCTATCCCCCAGCCCCAGGCATGTAGCAGGCAGCCATGAACATGTTCCTGGAGCAACTCGCACACAGCTTGTGGGGGCCAACGTGGGCAAAAAGGACCCTGTCCTCCAAATATCTGGGATTTGAGCCCTGATCTCTAATTGCTGCTTCTGATCACGGAGCTATAGGCAAAGAGGTGGGCAGACTTTGTTGTACCCCACCCCCCCACTGCTGCAAGTTCCTCCTCTGGCTGAAGTGACTTCCAGTGGATTTAAAGGGCTGATGCCCCCCCCCATTCAAATATTCCCCCTTTTAGGAGCAGACGTTAAAAACTAGGACATTCAAAAACAACTGCGTGGGGCGCCTGGGTGGCTCAGATGGTTAAGTGTCTGCCTTCCGCTCAGGTCATGATCGCAGGGTCCTGGGATCAAGTCCCGCATCGGGCTCCTTGTTAGCAGGGAGCCTGCTTCTCCCTCTGCCTGCCACTTCCCCTGCTTGTACTCTCCTTCTCTCTCAGGCAAATAAATAAATAAAATCTTTAAAAAAAAAAACAACACCGTGTATGAGGAAAATTAGAAAATGACCACACATGCCCAGGGAAAGGCCTAAGTTTATACCTCTGGCTCATCTGCAACACAGAGACTGCCTACAACAATCAAAATGCAAATATTATAACAAGCCCAGCAAGCCCTGGGAAGTGGGGGGGGAGGGGGAATCTGATTCCCAGAGTTACCCCATTATTAGATTCCAATGTCCAGATTTCAACAAAAAAAAAAAAATCACAAGGCATGCAGAGATACAGGAAAGTGTGACCCATTCAAAAGAAAAAAGTAAATCAACAGAAACTGAAATAAGCCCTGAAAAAGACCTGGTGGCAGATAAACTAGACGGAACTTAAAACAGCTGCCTTAGAGATGCTCAAAAAACTAAAGGAAGCTGTGGGGGAAGTTAAAATGATACATGAATGAAACGGATATGTCAATAGATGGCTAGATAACCTGAGAAAAAACCACACACATACACAGTTCTGGAGCTGATAAGTACAACTGAAATGAGAAATTCACCAGAGGGATTCAAAGGCAGATTTGAGTAGGCAGAAGAAAGAATACTGCACTTGAGTCTGAGGAAAGAAGGAAGAAGAAAAGACCATATGTTAGAGCAGAGATAAACAAAATAGAGAAAAACAACAGAAGATAAATGAAACAGTTGGTTTTTCGAAAAGATCAGCAAAATGACAAACCTGTAGCTAGAATGCACTAAGGAAAAAGAAAAGATTCAAATTATTAAAATGAAAATGACATTACTACTAATTCTACAGAAATAAAAGGATTATGAGAACTAAAGAACAACTGTATTCCAACAAATTGGTTAACCAGATGAAGTGGGAAATTTCCTAAAAACATGAAACCTACCAAGACTAAATCACAAAGAAATAGAAAACCTGAATAGATGTATAACTAGTAAGGAGATTGATTCAGTAATTTTAAGATCTGACAAAGAAAAGCCCTGGAACCAATAGCTTCTTTGGTGAATTCTACCGAACATTTAAAGAAGAACTAACTTTTCCAGAAGAGTAAAGAGGAGAGAGAACTTCCTAACTTACTCTATGAGGCCAGCGTTAACCTGATGCCAAATACAAAGACACTACTAGAAGACTAGGCTAACATCCCCTATGATCACTGATGCAAAACTCTTCAACAAAACACTAGCAAACCTAAATCAGCATATTCAAAGTATTACACACCATCACCAAGTGGGATTTATTTATGGGATGCAAGGATGGTTCAAAATACAGAAATCAATCATTGTAATAAACCACATTAACAAAACGAAGGGAAAAGAAACACGATCGTCTCAATTGAGGCAAAAAAGCATTTGACAAAATTCAACACCTTTTTTTAATTTTTTATTGTTATGTTAATCACCGTACATTACATCATTAGTTTTTGATGTAGTGTTCCATGATTCATTGTTTGTGCATAAAACCCAGTGCTCCACGCAGAACGTGCCCTCTTTAATACCCATCACCAGGCTAACCCATCCCCCCACCCCCCTCCCCTCTAGAACCCTCAGTTTGTTTTTCAGAGTCCATCATCTCATGGTTCGTCTCCCCCTCTGATTTACTCCCCTTCATTCTTCCCCTCCTTCTATCTTCTTCTTCTTTTTTTCTTAACATATATTGCATTATTTGTTTCAGAGGTACAGATCTGTGATTCAACAGTCTGGCACAATTCACAGCACTCACCATAGCACATACCCTCCCCAATGTCTATCACCCGGCCACCCCATCCCTCCCACACCCCCACCACTCCAGCAACCCTCAGTTTGTTTCCTGAGATTAAGAATTCCTCATATCAGTGAGGTCATATGATACATGTCTTTCTCTGATTGACTTATTTCACTCAGCATAACACCCTCCAATTCTATCCACGTCATTGCAAATGGCAAGATCTCATTCCTTTTGATGGCTACATAATATTCCATTGTGTATATATACCACATCTTCTTTATCCATTCATCTGTCGATGGACATCTTGGCTCTTTCCACAGTTTGGCTATTGTGGACAAAATTCAACACCTTTTTGTGATAAATACACTCAAACTGGGAATAGAGGGGCACCTGGCTGGTTCAGAGGAGCATGCGACTCTTGATCTCAGGGTCATAAGTTCCAGCCCCACATTGGGTGTAGAGATTACTTAAAAATCTTTTTTAGGAAGGCCTGGGTGGCTCAGTCAGTTAAGCATCTGCTTCAGCTTGGGTCACAATCCCAGGGTCCTGGGATCGAGTCCCACATTGGGCTCCTTGCTCAGTGGGGAGCCTGCTTCTCCCTCTGCCTGCTCTGCCTGCCCCTCCCCCTGCTTGTGCTCTCTCTCTAACAAATCTTTAAAAAAAAATACAGATTTTATTTATTTATTTGACAGAGAGAGTGTGCATGTGAGTGCACGAGCAAGGGGGAGGAACACAGTGAGAGAGAGAAGCAGACTCCCTGCTAGGCAGCGAGCCCAATATGGGGCTCCATCCCAGGACGCCGAGATCATGACCTGAGCCAAAGGCAGACACTTAACTGACTGAGCCTCCCAGGTGCTGCTAATTCCTGTCTTCTTTAATTTCAGGAATTGTTTGTAGTTTTCAGTGCACAATTCTTGAAAGTAAAAAATAAATATGTCATAATAGTCATGAAAATCACACATAAATATTTTTATTTTTTTAAGATTTTATTTATTTGACAGAGAGAGACACAGTGAGAGAGGGAACACAAGCAGGGGGAGTGGGAGAGGGAGAAGTAGGCTTCCCGCGGAGCGGGGAGCCCGATGTGGGACTCGATCCCAGGACCCTCGGACCATGACCTGAGCCAAAGGCAGTTGCTTAACGACTGAGCCACCCAGGCGCCCCTTTACATAAATATTTTTAAATAAATGTCATGCTAATAGTTTTGGGTCATGTTCAGTCCTCTAGCTGCAGGTTTGAGAAATCTGTGAGTACTGCTCTGTTATGATGGAGGAAATTTTTTTTTTAATAATTTTTTTATTGTTATGTTAACCACCATACATTACCTCATTAGTTTTTGATGCAGTGTTCCATGATTCATTGTTTGTGCATAACACCCAGTGCTCCACGCAGAACGTGCCCTCTTTAATACCCATCACCAGGCTAACCCATCCCCCCACCCCCCTCCCCTCTAGAACCCTCAGTTTGTTTTTCAGAGTCCATTATCTCATGGTTCGTCTCCCCCTCTGATTTACTCCCCTTCATTCTTCCCCTCCTGCTATCTTCTTCTTCTTCTTTTTTTTCTTAACATATATTGCATTATTTGTTTCAGAAGTACAGATCCGTGATTCATCAGTCTCGTACAATTCACAGTGCTCACCATAGCACATACCCTCCCCAATGTCTATCACCCGGCCACCCCATCCCTCCCACCCCCCACCACTCCAGCAACCCTCAGTTTGTTTCCTGAGATAAGAATTCCTCATATCAGTGAGGTCATATGATACATGTCTTTCTCTGACTGACTTATTTCACTCAGCATAACACCCTCCAGTTCCATCCACGTCGTTGCAAATGGCAAGATCTCATTCCTTTTGATGGCTGCATAATATTCCATTGTGTATATATACCACATCTTCTTTATCCATTCATCTGTCGATGGACATCTTGGCTCTTTCCACAGTTTGGCTATTGTGGACATTGCTGCTATAAACATTGGGGTGCACGTACCCCTTCGGATCCCTACATTTGTATCTTTGGGGTAAATACCCAGTAGTGCAATTGCTGGATCGTATGGTAGCTCTATTTTCAACTGTTTGAGGAACCTCCGTGATGGAGGAAATTTTTGATGCTGCAGAAGCGTAACAGAACATTTACCAGGTCTTGTTCTCTCCCTACTTAAAATCTGAGGCCCCTGAAGGCAGGGACAGACAGTGCCCTCTCTGCCTCCCCTGAGAATGCCAGTCAGTACACCTACCATTTGGATATCCACCCACCCAGTAGCCACAGTGACTATTCACGAAATGCAAATTTGATCATCTCTTTTTGCTTAAAACCCATCAAATGCATTGCTATGTGTTCTCCAAAGTGGGTGATATGGTCCCTGTCAATCTCTTCCATCTTAGTAGGAAGTCTGTCCCTACTCCCTCGCAGCTCCAAGGCATTCTGGCCTTCTTTCCATCTTTCTAAAACAATTTTTTCCCAAACATTTCTAATTGCAGCCTACAGTAAGAAATTTATTTTACATTGCAACCTGGTTGACATATATAAAAATAAGATTTGCAAAGCAATACTTAGCTTTATTACTTATGCGATACACTCCAGTGCTTTCTATTTTTTTTTTAAAGTTGGCACCCACTAGATTAATGTTATGACCAATTAATGGGGTACAACATGCGTTTTGAAAAACGCTGCTCTAAGCATTCAATTTCTTTGCCTCAGGGTCTCCGCATATGTTATGCTCTCTGGAAAACTTTTCTTGTGTCCTCTTCACCTGGATAAATCTTACCCATTTTAAAGGTATGAAATCAAAGGATGCTCTCGCTCACTAGCGCGCGTGCTCTTTCTCTCCCTCCCGTCGACTGCCTGCATTTGAATCCTGGAGATCGTGATGGAAGAGTTAACACGGGCGAAGAACTCAGAACAGCGCATGGCAAATAGTAATGCTTCGTCTTTTATTGCGAAAGGTAGTAATTATACAACTATTTGTGTGATTATTAATGTCTTCCAAGAGCTCCCAAACTCTAAACCCCTTGATTATTTTCTGTTCATTTTCATAATCCTAGCCTCACTTTTCCATGGCAAGTAGAAAGCACTCAGAAAAAAACCTAACGTGTAAGGACGCACTGGCCAGAGGAACAAAAACCTAGAAGCTGGAAAGAGAGCCCGCGTAGGGCGTCATCACGTCGCTCCAGAAGCCCCGCCCCAAAGGCGGGGGGCACGCCCACCTGGCCGTCGGCGGTCACGTGGGACTCAGCTGGGGGCCGCGGGGGAAGCTGGGCGAAGATGGCGACAATGAGGAAGGTGCTGCGGCGGAGACTGCTGGGCTTGGCGTCTCTCCGGGCTGTAAGTGCCCCGGCCCGCCGAGGGGTGGCCCTGCAGGCACCGTGACAGTCGGGGTCGGGGCCTTGGCCCGTGGCGGCAGCTCTCTCAGAGGCGAAGCCGGACAGCTGCTCAGGCCACTATCGGGAGGGCTTTGGAGTCTCAGATTTACTTTGTCCCGCCCAAATCCCTTGAGGGGCATGGGGAAACTGAGGCTCGTAGATGGGGAACGACTTGCCCGGGTCTTGGAGACCTGGGGCGCCATCCCAGGTGTCCTGATTACGTCCAAGGCTCTTCCCGGCGACCCTGGCACCTTCTCCCTCTGAGCTTCCAAGCTCTGCAAGCTCCTCAGTAGTGAAAATCACGAATAATCTTCCAGTTTCCGAGGGGAAAAGCAAGGTCCTCCCCCTCCCTCTGCCTTCATTTCCAGCTCTTGTTGCGTTTGGGGACGCTTGGAGAGCTATCCTAGTGTGCCAAGTAGGACCGGGGTTGCGTAGAACCATGTGTGATTTGATTCCCTTGGAATTGTACTTTGGTCATGTTCGATCCTGATGTTTCCCCCTCCCCTGCTGGAGTGGAGGGAAGGTGTAGGAGACCGAGTTGAATGAGGGGTTGAAGAAATTGTTTTGGTTAAAGCTGAAGCTGTGGTGCCCCAGTGGTTCTGCCACTTTCTAGGTCGAATGACAATTATTTGCTCTCTAAACCTCAGTTTTCTCATCTATAACATGGGTAAACATTACCTCAGAGTTCTTTGGAGGTTAAGGGAAACGTAGGTAAAGCATCTGACATTGTTTTAGCTCATAGTAAGTGATAAATCAGGTGTGTTATTTTTGTTTTAAGTTTAGAAGGGGTTATAAGTGTGTAGTGGGGAAATTACACTATCTTGGCAAGTGTACCCCTCAGAAAGCCACTTTAATGTCTACTAGGCCACCCAGCCCTACCAATTACTAATGTGTAAAATAAAGATGGTACTTCCGGCTTGGAAAACTACGTGAGATGGTGGGTATTAATGTGCTTTGAAAAAATTCCTAGTGTTAATGAGGTGGTGGTCATAGGCTCTCCATGGGGTTACTAGCAGAGGCTTGGTATCAGAAACAGATGGTTAAAGGCCAGACTTCTTCACTTGGTAGCTATGTGATTTTGGAGAATCTTTCTGAGGCTGTTTCTTCCTGTATGGAGTTGAGATAATGATAGTCCCTGCCATGTAGGTACTAAATGAGGTACTGATCCTGAAGTTAGCACTGCGCTTTAGTTGGTATTAGCTGTTGGTATAGGTATGCCATAGCTCAGGAGGCTTGGCCCAGGACTTCTGTGGTTAGAGATCATCTCTGAGCAGAGCTGGGCAGAGGGAACCAACTGGGTGTTAACCAAGAGAAGAGAAGATTTGGCGGGTGGGATGACAGAAAAGTGGCAAAGGGGCAACGTGGCCCAGGGTTTAGGAGGGAGTGCTGTAGATCAACACTGCCAGGTTCAGATAATGACTCATGACAAGCTAACTATGTGACCTTGGGAAAGCTACTTAATCTCTGGGCTTCTTATTTTTCACAGTAAAATAGAGATTGTAATAGTTCCTACCTAATAAGGTTGAGAGGATGATAGGGTTAATATGTAAAAGGCTCTTATGAGCGCCTGGCAGATATTAAATGCTTAATAAATGTGATCTACTGTTTTATTATGTGAAGAGTTGTTATGGGGAAGGACGTGGAATTAAGTTTGTTCTGTTCTAGTAGAAGGAACCTGGAAGCAGGTCTTGCATGCTTTCAACAAGGCCCTGTTATGTCCCAGGGCCTTGGAATTACAGGAACGGATAAAACAAAGTCGCTGCCTCATGCAGCTTACATTCCAGTGTGATCGACTTAGGGCAATGTACCAACATAAGCTGAACCTCCCTGTTGTAGTGACATTCAACTTGCAGGGCGTTTTTTTTTTTTTTTTTTTTTTTTAAAGTAGGCTCCATGCCCAGTGCGGGGCTTGAACTCACAACCCTGAGATCAAGAGTCGGATGTTGTTGTTTTTTTTTTTAAAGATTTTATTTATTTATTTGAGAGAGAGAGAGAATGAGAGAGAGCACAAGAGGGAAGAGGGTCAGAGGGAGAAGCAGACTCCCGCTGAGCGGGGAGCCCGATGTGGGACTCGATCCCAGGACTCCAGGATCATGACCTGAGCCAAAGGCAGTCGCTTAACCAACTGAGCCACCCAGGCGCCCAAGAGTCGGATGCTTTACTGACTGAGCCATCCAGGTGCCGCCTTGCAGGGACCTTCTAACCTAGCTTGTTGGCTTCATGAAATTCAGTGGCTCATCACCTTAGTCTCTAGGAAGTTTTGCTGACCAAAAGCAAGGCCAGTTCAGGTGAGTTGTTCAAGTTCCAGCTGATTCATAGCAGGGAATGTTACCTTCCTTAAGGGTTTCAGGAGTTTGGGATCCTTAGCAGATTACCCAGTGCACTTCTCCCCTTTCCCCATTGCAGTATGTTTATCCAGATTAAATCTGGTAAAACGAAGTTATTTTGAAGAGTTACAGTATTAAGAACAGAGGAAAGAGGGAAAAGAAACCTCATATTGCTTGGTGGTAAGGAGGGGAAGATTTGGGGCAGACTTTAAATGGAGGAGATTCAAAGCCTTTTTATACTGTCTTCAGCTGTTGGTGTCCTCTCTCCCCAGACCCACTCCTTGTCATCACCCAGCCTGTGACTGTAACAGAACAAGTCCTCCTCCATCCCCCAAACCCCACAAAGTCCAAGGCTAACTACTCCTCTCTTTTACCTAGGAATTGCCCTTTCCCCGGGGTGGCTATGCCCTTCATGCATTTATTTGTTGTTTCAGTGACTTTTTAATGCATGCCTGCTTTGTGCCAAGCGCAGGGCCACACATGAGGGATGGAGCACAGGTGGAGACAAAGTCTTGTAGAGCTTATATTCTCCTGAAGGAAACTGAGTAGGCATTATTGTCAGGGCTCTGAAGGAATTAGAGTTTTATTTTTTTTATTTATTTTTTATTTATTTATTTTTAAAGATTTCATTTATTTCTTTGACAGAGACACAGAGAGAGAAGGAACACAAGCAGGGGGAGTAGAAGAGGGAGAAGCAGGCTTCCCGCAGAGCAGGGAGCCCGATGCGGGGCTCGATCCCAGGACCCTGGGATCATGACCTGAGCTGAAGGCAGACGCTTAACGACTGAGCCACCCAGTCACCCCATAGAGTTTTTTTTTGTTTTTTTTTTAAAGATTTTATTTATTTATTTGACAGCGAAAGAGGGAGAAGCAGACTTCCCACGGAGCAGGGAGCTGATGCGGAGCTCGATCCCAGGACCCTGGGATCATGACCTGAGCCGAAGGCAGACACTTAACGACTGAGCCACCCAGGCGCCCCTGCTTGTTTGTTTTAAAGCGGGGGCAGAGGCACAGGGAGAGAGAATCTCAAGCATGCTCCACGCCCTGTGTGAAACCCAGTGTGGGGCTCAGTCTCACAACCCTGAGACCGTGACCTGAGCCAAAATCAAGAGTTGGACACTTAACCAACTGAGCCACCCAGGAACCCCAGGAATTAGGGTTTTGAGATAGAAAATAATGAGGATCAGGGGATTGGCAGCTTTACAAAAGGCAGTCAGAGGAGGCCCATCTGGCTGAAAGGTGAGAAGGAGCCAGATGTGGAAGAGCCAGGTGAAGAGCATTCTGGGCAGAGGGAACAGTAAGCCTTGAGGCCCTGCTGTGAGGGGAAGGCCATTGGGGCTGCAGTATAGGGACCCCACTGGGGGAAGAGGGGGAGTCGGGACAAGTAATGAGTTCACTGGGGGATGTGGGACGGTAGAAACAAGTCATGAGCTCACTGAGATCAGCAGGAACCAAATGATAAGAACCTACTGGCCCGTGGGGAGTGGGGTAAGGGGATGAGTCAGGTTTCTGGCTTAAGCAATAGAATGCATGTGTTGTTTTTTACTGAGAAAGGATGAAGCCAGACGGAGCTTTGGAATTTAAACAGTTGTTTAGGGACTTCTAAGTTTAGGAGGTGCAAATAGGTTTGTGTAAGAAACAACCTGAATGCTCAGCTGGCAGACTGGCGGTGAGAAATGGGCCGGTACGAGGAGCAGGAATCTTGCCCATTCCTCAGTGAAATGCTTTAGTTCTTTTTGTTCTTCCTTCTAAAATAAACCAAATGTGAGAGATACGGAGTGTTTACAGTGAGAAATACTGCTTCCTGTCTCAGTGAAGGTGGATCCATTCTTTTAGATCTGTCCCCTTAGAGAATTGTGACAATCTCCTCTCATCACTTTTTGTTTCCTCTTTTAAACCAAAGGTCAGCACCTCTTCTGTGGGTACTTTCCCAAAGCGAGTGAAAATTGTGGAAGTTGGTGCCCGAGACGGACTACAAAATGAAAAGGTAAAGATGGAATTCAACCAAAAGAGGTTTTTTGAGCAGCAAGCGTTGCCTGTGGTGGGCGCCGCGGGGATGGACAGAGCAAGACATGATCACCCCCTCCCCCCAACTCAACGCAGAGCAAAGTGGAGAAGGCCAGGCAGTCGTGGGTGACAGTAAAGCCGTCTAAGACGGCGGTGCCTCAGGTGTGGCGTCCCGCTCCATCTCAAGATCCCCTGCGGCAGGGCGGATGGGAAAGGCGGCAGGAGAGGAGAGGGAGGGTGAGGGCATGCCTGTCATCTGGCAATTCCAATCCTGTGTAAGGCGACTTAACTTATCCCCAGGACGTCTCGGAGGTCACATGCAAAGATTTAGCCTTAGAGATGTTCCTCACAACCTCGTTGTAATAAAACAGTTGGAAACCACCTCAGTGCTCGGTGTAGAGAAAGTTAGCTCAAATACTTTTTTTTTTTAAAGATTGTATTTATTTATTTGACAGAGAGAGAGAATACAAGTAGAGCGGCAGGCAGAGACAGAGGGAGAAGCAGGCTCTCTGCCGAGCAGGGAGCCCGATGCGGGCCTCAGTGTCAGGACCCGGGGATCGTGTCCTGAGCTGAAGGCAGACGCCCAACTCACTGAGCCACCCAGGCGCCCCTGGCTCAAATACTTTAGTGACTTCATTAAATGGATTAGGAAGCTGTAGTAATAAGGAACATGTTAAGTGACTGAAGCAGATTATAAAATAATAGACATTTTCTTTCATCTTACACTTTTAGGTAAAACAAAAAAGTTTGTATATCTGTGGGAACATCTCCTTAGAAAAGGATCTAGAACAGTGCTGTCCGGTAGCACTTTCTGTGAGGACGGAAATGTTCTAGATGTGAGCTGTCTTGGACACAAGACTATTGAGCACTTGAAATGTGGCTAGTGTAACTGGGGGACTGAAATTTTGTTTTTAGGTAATTTAAATTAATGTAAATTTAAATAACCACATATGGCTAACGTCTGCTATATTGGACTACACAGATCTGGAAAGTCACATTATCAGGATGTTACCAGTGTTATCTCTGGGAGATTTTAAGGATGGTTTCCTTTGTTTGGGGCACGTTTTCTGAAATAGTAGAGCATTATTTTTTCAATCGGAAAAGCTCTTTCTTTTTTTGGAACGCGTAGCTTTAATAGTGAGAGCTTATTGATAACAATAAAGTATAAGCTCATAGGGTAGAATCGTGTCTTTTCTGCTCACTGCTGTATCCCTAGCACCTAGCACCATTCCTGGAACATGGAAGGCTCTCAAAAATTATGTATGGGATGGATTAAGGTAAAGCAATGGAATTGAGGGGCTTGGCGTGAAAGGGCCTGGTGAGAAGGACTTGGAGTTCTTAGAATTTTTTTTTTTACCTAATCCTGTAAGTACTGGGGAGCCATGGAAGGCTTTTGAGCAGGAGAGTGAAACAATGGAGACTGTTTTAGATTCCTGCATGGTATGAGTTGGTAGAGTGGGACCATGCCATAAAATACAGGGGAGAATAATAGTAGATTTGGAAAGAGGGATCCATAGAATCTGGTGAGCAACTAGGCATGGTGGGGGAGGGAGAGAAAGAAGCAGCAGGCTGACCATGTGAGGATGAGGTCCAGTGCCAGTTGGGAGACAGAAAAGGGGACAAAGTGGTACTTTGGGGGCCCCATCTCATGGGACGCAAACAGAGGGTTAGTCATCTCTGCCCTTTCAGGTCATGGCACATTGCTCTCAATTTGCTTATGATGGGGTCATAAATTCACAAACAGTTAAGAAAAAGCCTTTATGATAGAAAAATACTGCTTCCATGTAAATATTAACTCCTTTTCAGGCGAGAAGCTACCTCCACTGCAAAATGCTATCTGTAGAACTTGGACACGCCCCCCATCTATTGGCATGAATTACATGTGAATTCATGCTCGTGTTTGGAAGTCGAGATAGTGAAGTGCGTGCTGTAGCAAAGCTTTGAACTAACAGGCTCTGGGTCTCAGACCATTTTATTCCCACTGTTGCTAACCCCGTCTTTTCTGGTGTTTCTTTCTCCATCGCAGAATATCGTATCTACTTCTACGAAAATCAAGCTGATAGACATGCTTTCTGAAGCAGGACTTCCCGTTATAGAAGCCACCAGCTTTGTGTCCCCCAAGTGGGTTCCCCAGGTGAGCCCCGGCCCTCAGTAATAAGCGTTTCTCAGGTGAGAGAGATGTGAAGTTTTGCATTTGCGCTGGAAGTAAGTAGAAGCTGGGAACATAGGTCTCCAGATCTCTGGCTTGCTCTCGTGACTTGTGGGAGCATGGAGCAGCAGAAGACCATCACCTGGAAGGCAGGAGGCTTGGATTCCGTCTTGGCTTTGCCCCAGACTTGCTTGGGGGCCTTGGGGAGGTCTTCCCCTCTCCAGGCTGAGAGTGACTTCTCAGGCCTCTTCTGGCTCTGGAAGTCTAGAATCTCTAACCCTGTCTAGAAAAGTGGTATCTGTGTTTGTAAAAGGGAAAGACGGATGACTCCTGTTTCACAGAAACAATCAAGTGGGAAGAAAGATCCTGTTTCACCTGAGCTTAGTTAAGTAACACAGAGTCAGGGGCACCTGGGTGGCTCAGTCGTTAAGCGTCTGGCTTCAGCTCAGGTCATGATCCTAGGGTCCTGGGATCGAGCCCCGCACTGGGTTCCCTGCTTGGCGGGAAGCCTGCTTTTCCCTCTTCCACTCCCCCTGCTTGTGTTCCCTCTCTCGCTGGGTCTCTCTCTGTCAAAATAAAATAAAATCTTTTAAAAAAAGGGAAAAAAAAGGAACAGAGAGTCTGTTCTCAGTAAATGGCTGGTAGTGTTGTTACTGCTTGTGTGAAGCTGGCGATATTAACTGTAGAGAGAAACTGGGGGACTTACCGGCCCCAAGGAGCCTTCGGGCCCATCCTCGGTCAAACAAAGAGTAAAAGCACTGGGGAGACATAGCTCTGGAAAGGGACTCATTCTTCAGGAGTTCTGGACAACAGAGATTTCGTGATAAAAATGTTTTCTCTACCTGAGCTCTCTGCCTGACTTGGCAGTGACCTGGCAATGTCTCCTTTGGCTCCCAGATGGCTGACAATGCTGAAGTCTTGAAGGGCATCCAGAAATTTCCTGGCGTCAACTACCCAGTCCTGACCCCAAATATCAAAGGCTTCCAGGCAGCGGTAAGAGACTCGCTTGATGGTGGGCTCCCCTGAAATGAGATTGATGACATTGGTCCCTGTCTCGTCACTGGGCCCTAGTCCCTAGTCCTGGACTGTCTGTCTCAAGGGCTTGTCTCCAGTAATGATGAGCACTGTCAGACAGACCCAGGGCCGTTCTGGCCCTGCCACCCCCAGCTCCCTGACCTTGACCAGCTATTTAACCCCCTGAGCCTCAGATTCTGCCTGTAAGGTAGGGCTGATCATAGTACCTAATGCTGGGAGGATTTCAGAGGATAGAATGCACCTACATTACTTAGCAAGAGCCTGGGAGAAAGTAAGTGTTTAATACATATTAGCTTTTGTTGCTATTATCTATTTCCTCTTTAGAGAAAGGTGATCGTGCTCCCCACAGTGGTTGCTGGTATCTGCCATCTTTCTTAGAGTGTTGGACAAGAACATCATTGGGGATGCTGACTCTGAATTTAGGCAGAAAGCTGTTCTTAAGAGTGATGTCCAGGGGGCACCTGGGTGGCTCAGTCCTTAAGTGTCTGCCTTCGGCTCAGGTCATAATCCCAGGGTCCTGGGATCGAGCCGCACATCGGGCTCGTTGCTCCTCGGGAGGCCTGCTTCTCCCTCTCCCACTCCCCCTGCTTGTGTTCCTGCTCTCACTATCTCTCTGTCAAATAAATAAATAAAATCTTAAAAAAAAAAAAAAAAAAAAAGAGTGATGTCCAGGGCAGTGATGTCAGCGGCAGTGCTGGGCCTTGGGGGAAGGCCAAGGGTGGTGGTGTTTCTTTAATGGAGTTAGAATTCACTGTGTTAATTTCCTAGGGCTGCCGTAAGAAAATACCAAAGGCTAGGTGGCTTAAAACAACAGAAATGTATTCTCTCACAGCTCTGGAGGCGAGAAGTCTGAGATCCAGGTGGTAGTAGGGTTGGTTCCTCCCGAGGGCTGGGAGGACACGGTTCGAGCTTCTGGTGAAGACTGGCAGCCCTTGGCGTTCCTCGGCTTGTAGACGCCTCACTCCCGTCCCGCCTCCATCTTCGCTGGCCTTCCCCTTTGTGTGTGTCTTCACATGGCCTCCATATTAGAAGGACGCCCGTCCTATTGGAGTCAGGACCACTGTGACCTCATTTTAACTAACTACTGCTACACCCACCCTATTTCCAAATAAGGCCACATTCTGAGGTACCGGGGATTAGGACTTCTACAGATGTTTTTTCGGGGGGACATAGTTCAACCTATGATATTCGTGTGTTATAAAATTCACTGTAAGACAAGGGTTTTTGCCATGCTGGTGTTCCTTGAAGAGACAAAGGCTGAAAGGAATTCACTTGGCTATTGGCAGGTTGCTGCTGGAGCCAAGGAGGTGACCGTCTTTGGAGCTGCCTCAGAGCTGTTCACCAAGAAGAACACCAATTGCTCCATCGATGAGAGTTTACACCGGTCCGACGAAATCCTGAGGGCAGCTCGGGCTGCCGGTATCCCTGTGCGCGGGTGAGTCACAGCGCGTTGGGGCCGTCTGCCTTTTCTTCAGTACCGTTCTGGAAGGGGGGCCAGGCTCTGACTCAAGCCACCGTCCCCCTACATACTCCTTATCCTGGGCGCAGACAGCCCATGCTCCACACCTTGAGATCTTTCCTCAAGTAGCTGTGGTCAGGAAATCCTGGCAAGTGCTTTCTCCAAAACTGGTTTTGGGGTCAGTTCCCCAGAGGAATCCAGTAGGACAGGACACTCAGCAGGGTCTGTGGGTGTCAGATGAATCCCTCTCCATACATGTCTGAGGACCCCCGTCTCCAGGCATTGTCCCTGTGTCATCTGACTGTGACCTCACAGTCACCCAGCAAGCAGGGCTCTCCCTGCTTCCAGAAGACAGACCCGGCTCAGGAAGGCCGAAGAGTCGGCTGTGAGGTCGCACTGCGTCCACACCGCAGCCAGCGTGCTCTTTCTGAAAGTGCACGTGTGATCACCTCCCTCCCTGGTTAAAACCTGTCAGTGACACCCCGACTCTGGGCTTCTCACCCGGCCTCCGAGACACTGCCTTTGGCTGCAGCCTCCCCCACTGCCACTCACCATCCAGCCCCGCTCCTCAGCTCGCTGCGTTCCAGCCCAACTGGAACTTCATTCCTTGTGTCCGGGCTCCCACTCTCTCTCGCCTCTGGGTGCTTTCCATAGACTCAGAACTCTCTTGTCCTGCCTCCTACTTGTCCGGGCTAGCTCCTGCTCATCTTCCAGCTTCTCCGGGAAGCTTTCTCTGGCCCCCAGCTGGGGTTCGTGCCCCTCGTTGGGCTCTCATGGCCCCCTGGACATCCTCTGACAGAGCACTTAGCTGCATGTTAGCTTCTCCCCTGCCTCCCACCCCCGCCGGACCCTGCACCCCGTGAGGGCAGAGCCCATGTGCCGCAGTTCGTGGCGGGCTCCCTCCCGCGGTGCAGGGCCAGCACGCTGGGGTCCTGGGGATGCGGGGGGCACAGGGAAGCAGGGGCCCACGGGGTCTGCCCGACTCCCAAGCCTGTGCTCGTTCTCAGCATCTCCCTTCTCTTTGCTGAGCAGTGACTGGAGAACAAGGGCGAGAAGGAAGTTGGGAAAACGCCTTGAGATCTTTGAGCCTGAAATGGTGTACCCAGCCAACATCTGTGACACCTGTCACATGCAGAACAGTTTGCCAGACTCGAGGTCTCGGTGGGGCCTTAGCGCCAAGAGGGCAGGTGGAAACAGAAGCCCACCAATGTCGAAAGCCAAACTCCCCGCGGCTGGCAGGTCGCCGGGTCGGCCCGCACCCGCCCGTCCAGCCACGTGCTGTGCTCGCCGCCGCAGGCGCCCCGGGCCCGGCCCTCCGTCCTTCTGAGGCTTGAGCACACCCTCTCTACCACCTCAGGGGCTCCACGCTGCTCTGCTCTCTGCCTGGAAGGCTCTCCCAGTGGCTCTCCCGCCACCTGCCCCCCCCCTCGGCTCCTGTGTCACGGCCTCAGAGGTCTTGCTGGGCCGCCCTGGCTTCGGTCAGCCTCCCCTCCGTCGCTCCCACCACGTCCCCTGTTCTCCCGTCCAGCACATCACTCCCAGGTCACCTCACCTGTTCCTTCGCTTGCCCGCGTATTGGCTCTGTCTCTAACTGGAAATAGCCTCCATGAGGGTAGGCACCTTGTCGGCCTTTTCACAGCATGACCCAGCACCCGGCACATAGTGGGCGACTCCGTCAGTGTCCGTAGAATAAATGAGTGTCTGAATCCTTGGGCAGCTCACCGGAGCAGCTGATCCTTGGCCCACAGGCCAGCCCAGCCCTTCTGTTCCTGCTTGGGTTTCATCTGTCCTTGCCCTCCCCCCCGCCCCCTCGGGAGTAGGGGCCCCAGCTGCCTGTGGCAGATGTTCTGCTCTATCTCACCGCCCCATGGCTCAGGAGCCTGCTCACTTTGCCCTCTCTGGCTTCTCCCCTCAGGCCTGGGCAGCCCCTGCTTCCCTGCTCTGGCTCGCCACTGCCCCCTCCTGGTACCACGCGGCACTCACTCCGTTCTGGCCCTGCGGTATTGAATCTGCCTTTCCCCAGGCATTTGACCTTGTCCCACTTCGGGGATGGCTGTCAGACTTCTGCCCTGCGTCAGCCCTGCTGGCCTGGGAGGTTGGGGGCACTGACACCATCCCTCCCCTGTCCTCCCACAGGTATGTCTCCTGTGTGCTTGGATGTCCCTATGAAGGGAAGATCTCCCCGGCTAAAGTAGCTGAGGTGTGTGTGTATCGGGCCGGGGGTTTTCTGACGGTTGTCTGCCTTGCCTGCCCCTGAGGTTCCCCTCACCACCCTTTCCTGGCGGGTCACTGATGTCACTCGTTCACGCAGCTCCCAGCACTTGCTCCTGGAGGCCCACCTCCTAGCGCGCTTGAAGCCCTACCGTCTGCCCCAGCCTGGAAGCCTCTGACTCAGTATGCAGTCTGGTCAGTGGACAGGTGATAGTTGAGGGGATCTGTGGAGGGGCTCCCCACCCAGGCTCCCCGCAGTTCCTTGCCGTGGTTGGAGAGGCCACCACGCCCTTGGTGTCCTCCGAGCAGGAACCAAGTCCGCACCAAGGAGAGCACAGTGTGGGAACAGAGTCTGAGCAACCCAAGAGCTTATGCCACTTAGTTGTCAAAGTCACCCTGCAAATTTGGTGTTATTATTCTTAGTCCGTTTCTCAAGCGAGGAAACAGACTAAATAATTTGCCACACAGGTTGCAAATGGGGACACTAGGTCTCAGTCCCCACTCTGTTTACCTGCAACCCCCCTGCTCTTCCTGCACACCCGGGAGCCCCAAGGAGAGCACGCTGCTTACTGACAGTGGCGGTGGTGCTCCTGTCCCAGCCGCCCGTCCCGCAGCCTCCAGTCCTCACTGCCGCCCCGCCAAGTCCCACCACTGCTTCTCGGAAGGAGAAATGGAAGCTCCAAAAGGATCAGCCCTTTGCCAGCGCCCCCCAGCCAGGGAGTGGCCGAACTGGGATGGTGACCCAACATGGGTCACTCCAGAGCCCGCTCCTTCGCTGCAGCGTCTGCCCCCACCGGCTGTCCTCAGTCTCCCGCCTGGGCAGTGGGGGGGCTCGCTGGTCCATCTGCCTCGCAGGCCTCTGAGAGTGTCACCTGCATCCCTGGCCCTGTCACACGCCCACCTTCTCTGGCAGCGCGGTGTGGGGCAGCATCTCCTCAAGGGGGGCACACGCTGCCCTGGCTTCTCAGTGACTTTAGGGATTTGCAGATGAGCTTCTAAAAGTTTAAACAGTTAGGTACTTCTATTAAAAATACATAACTAGCCCCTCAGACCCACGAGATCGTAGATCTTACTGAGGGTAAAGTCACATGAGAGGAATCCGTTTTACTGATTCCAGTCGTTGGCTCTGACCCGGTGTGTGGAGGTGGCACGTGAAGGCCTGAAGTCGGGGCACAGGGGCAGGAGAGGGTGGGAGGAAAGCTCGGGGTTGCTCCAGGGGCCAGCTCTGTTCCCTTATGTCTCCACTTCCTGGTGAGTAGAGTGGGGATCATCATTCCCACTCAGAAAGTTGTAAGGAGCCGATGATCGGACAGGAACATAGTATTTCCACAGGGAGATGTTCGACACAGGCCTGGGACCCCTGCTTCTGAGGTGTTGTGCCCCTGGCTTGAGGAACCTGGTGTCCTCCAAGTGCTTGCTTGCTTGCTTCCCCAGGTCACCAAGAAGATGTACTCGATGGGCTGCTACGAGATCTCCCTGGGGGACACCATCGGTGTGGGCACCCCTGGGATCATGAAGGACATGCTGTCGGCTGTCATGCACGAGGTGCCCGTGGCCGCCCTGGCTGTCCACTGCCATGACACCTACGGCCAGGCCCTGGCCAACACCCTGATGGCCCTGCAGGTAATCAGGGCAGGTCCGAGGAGAAAGGCACGTGTCCATTCTCCGAAAGGACATAGTGGCAGGACAGCTAGGTTCCCTCCTCCTTTCACGAGGATTCACAGATACCTGTGTGCCAGGCCCTGGGGCGGCCCCAGAGGACACGGGCACGTGACCCTGGCCTGTAAGGGTGTGTGAGGGGGATAGTCAAGGGAGTTTTGTGGTAGTCCCCGTGCGTTATGACAGGTCACCTGCAGGGAGGAAGCACGTGGCTGAGGAAGGCCTCCATCCCAGCTGGGGAGGTCCAAGAGGATTTGCCAGGAGAGACCTGAATGAGGCCTGGAGGATGTGAGGAAGTTAAGCAGCTGGAAGAGGGAACGGGAAGCTGACTAGGCAGCCCTGCGCTGTAAGGCTGAGGTGGGGTTTGGGGAGAACACACACCGGGGGGGCCTGGGGGGGGGTTGTGCTGTGACTGCGCATGCGCATAGGGAGCGGGCAAGGGGGGTGCTCAGAGCGACAGGCAGAAGTTACTCCAGGGGAGCCTTACCTGCTGTCCCCCGAAGACTGAACTGAGGGTTCAGATTGGGTTTCCCTTGAGGTTTGCTCCTTGTGGACTGGCCACCCCTTAGAAAGTTCTGAGTGCCTGACCACAGGCTGTGTCTGCGCCTTGTGTCTGACCTTGCTGTCACATTGGTTGAAGTCTGGCCTGTTGTCTTTAGGTTTGCTAAAGCAATCCTGGGCCATCTTTGTTCTTGCGGGGTTTTTTTGGGGGGGCGGGTCTTAAGTTATCTCCTAGAGGCTCAGGTCTCTAAGCCGCAAGATTCTGTAACTTTCTGGGTCTGTTTTCTCTGTTGCAGCCGTCCAGGTTAAGGTCTGTGGGAGGTTTGAGGGAAGAAGAGAAAGGGAAACGGTCATTAGGAGAGTGGGCGGTCATTAGGAGAGTGGGCGGTGCTGACCCAGGGAAATGGGATAGGCCCCCTGGGGTTAGAGGCCCAACTTGAAGTGAGAGCAGCCTTAGGCTGGGTTGGTGGGACGTGGGTAAACGAATAGCAGTAAATAACAGGGGCCTGAAATCTCAACTGTGAGAGGTGCTTCCTTTAGGTTTGTGGCCAGGAAGCGCCTAGGGAGACCTTTCAGAGTGAGGAGTTGAGCGTGAAAGGAACCAGGGAAGATACCCCTGGCATAGGAAACAGTGTCCACAAAAAAGATTCACACTGTTCCAGGAACTAAAAAGAGAAACATCGACAGAATCCTTAGCCAAAGGAAAGAGGAACTCTCAGTGGAATTTCAGGCAGCAGTTGATTGGGAGGTTTGCAAGGACCTCCCGGCTTTGTAGGCTCTGGTCCCCACAGTGACACTCATGTTTCCCCATCCTTGTGTTTCCAGATGGGAGTGAGTGTCGTGGACTCTTCCGTGGCAGGACTTGGAGGCTGTCCCTATGCACAGGGGGCATCCGGAAACTTGGCCACTGAGGACCTTGTCTACATGCTGTCTGGCTTGGGCATTCACACGGTAAGCGCACCTGTCCCCTGCTGGCGACAGCCCCGAACTGACTAGAACTCTCCTTGAAGCCTGAGGACAGAAGCTGATGGTTTTGTTTAGGAGTTTTTTGGTGAAAGGGAGGACAGTTAAGAGGTAGCAGAAGAGGCACCAAGGAGTAGGGAAAGGGCCGCATCCATGACCTGAGCCAGTTCCCTCTGGACCTGTATTGCTCCCTGTAAAATGAGGGCAGGAGGAGACAGCCCTCCCCAGGGTTCTGTTAGAGTCAGTGAGGACCCTCAGTGGTGGGTTGGAAGCAGTATCTCGTCTGAGCTTTGGGACGAGATGGATCTTGGTTTAAAACCTAGTCCTGACACTCACAGGCTGTGTGACCTGACAAACGACTTCACCTCCCTGGGCCTAAGAAACGGGAATGCTAACAGCACCCCTTTGTGGGGCTGTGATGAGGACTAGGTAGGAAAATGAAGAGTGCCCAGACCAGAGCTGAGCACACAGTACGCATCAGTACATGTGAGCTCCTGCCACGAACAGGTTTTCGGGGTGGCCCTTTCAGTTGGTGTTTCCCTCCCGGCTCACTCTGCCTGGCAGTCGTTATTACTTCAGTCTGCACTTTTTGACTGCTGCAGGCCAGGCCCTGTGCTGGGCGCTGGAGATGCAGACTGAACAGGAATGACGAGATCCCTGCCAGGGTGGCAGCAGTAGAAACCATTCCACAGTTGGAGGCAGCTTATACAAGGGGAGCCCCCGGGGTAACCCCAGATGGCAGAAGGCTGCAGCCTTGCAGGCAGGTGCTGTCCCAGCACAAGAGGAACGAGAACCTGTCTTCACCTTTACTCTCTCAGTATCTGTTTTCTGTCCAGTCCGATGTCTCCCTGGGTGTTGCAGGCATGTCATGACCTACTGCATCCTCTAACTTGTTTCTCAAAGGGTGTGAACCTCCAGAAGCTCCTGGAAGCTGGGACCTTTATCTGCCAAGCCCTGAACAGAAAAACCAGCTCCAGAGTGGCTCAGGCTACCTGTAAACTGTAAACCCCTTTGGGGGACTCAGTGGGAATAGGGACTCACGTGAATGATTTGGGGAAAGGGCACGTGGAAATGGGAATGAAATTAACAGGAGTGGGCACCTCCCTGGCAGGTCCACACATAGGTCTCTCCTGCAAAAGGTAGGCAAGGGACAGGAGCTGCTTGGCCTCGGGCCCTCCCTGCCGGAGTCTAGTCTGAGTGAGAAGCCTGGGGGGCTGCGGGTCTCCCTGCCCTATGGACCCACAGGCCCAGGAGTTGAATGCCTGGGGTCCCCCTTGGAACCCAGTTCCCTGGTGCTCAGGCCCCATCTCTGGATGAAATCCGTCAGCTAGCTACACAGCCTGACCTGCTGTGGCTCTGGGGCCAACGCTGACTCCATAGAGCAAAGCGGCCTGGAGTTTTTCCCCAAGCTGGCGAGGGCATTTGGAAGGGGTGAGGGCTGAGCTGTCTTCGGTGACCACCTGCCGTCTCCAGCGTCTTTGGAAAATGTGCACTCTGGACCTGATTTTTGAGCACAGCTTATGTAATTAAAGGTTTAACACATAACAGCACGTGCCAGTATTGTGTTGTACAGCTGTGTGTGTATGAATGGGGGAGACTGGTGGGGAAGAACACATCTTTACAGCATGGCATTCTGAGAGGAACGTGTAGACTTGGAACTAGTCTGTGCATCTCTGGATCTCCTCCGTTTCCCCACCTGATTCCCGAATTCTTAATGACGAAACCAATGGCTTTGGGCCGGCTCAGGCCTGGCCGGAACACCCTGGGTGCTGCGGCTCCTGGCTCTGTGGGCAGGGAGTCCGCCCGTCAGTCGTCCTTGCTGGACTCCGGGCCCAGGGCATTCCGGGCTGGGCACGCACTTTGGCTCATCACTCAGGATGCCATGACTTTGCCCCGCCTTCCCTTTAAACAGAAGCACCACATCATTTTCTAGCCGACTCTGGTAGGCGGAGTGCGAACCGACCGACCATCCCCGGCGGTTCGCGTGGGGGCTGAGCGCAGTCGGCCGCGCGATCTCCCCGTGGGCCTCAGCTTCCCCAGCTCTCGGGGGCGGGGGGGTTGCAAACCAGACCTCCCAGAACCAGCTTTCTTCGGTCAGCGCCGCCCCCCGGCTGCCTCTGCTGCTCGCCGTAGCTGATTTCCTGCGGGGCTCGGCGGGTACGGAAAGGCTGGAGAGGCCGCGGGGAGCGCGCAACCGGGCTCGTCCGCTCCGCCCTCGGCCTGCGGCTCCCGCCTAGAGACAGCACCCGGGCGCGCCGCCTGCCTCCCGGCTCCCCGCCCCCCCGCCCTACGCCGCGCAGGCGCCTTGATGCCACAGCGCCTTTGGTCCTCCCGGCGCCCCGTAGCGCGCTCCTCGGCGACACGTTTCCTTGAAGGCGTGGAGGGGGCGGGACCAGGTGGGTCGTCGGCTCTTAAAGTGACCCGGACGCGGGGTGCGGGAGGCGGCAGCTCGGGGAGCGCGGTCTGGAGCAGGTTCGCGAGGCGAATGGGTGGGAGGGGGCCTGGCGGGCTCGCGAGGGGCTGGGTGGTCTGCGAGGGAGGGCTTCAGGGGTCCGGGCAGCGTCCTGGGTAGAGTCCCACTAGGGCGGGCCCCTGCAGCTCTCAGCTCCCGCTGCCTTGGCTGGGGCGGCCCGGGTTCATTCATTCCCGACCCGGAGACTCCGAGCTCGGCCCCTTCGGAGCCACGGCCCAAATCCCAGCCCGCCGCTCACCTCCTCCTCCCCTCCATTTTGCAGACCGGGAAAACCGAGGCGGCGACAGCCGACCGAGGTAAACCCGTCGGTCCGGGGCGAGGCTGGCCTCACCAGCCTTCCTGCCCCCTGGGGTTCATCCGCGACCACTTTTCAGGCTTCCGCACGGCGGGGTGGGGGTGGGGGTGGGGGCGGCCTCGAGGTCCGGAGCAAAGTCCAGCTGGAAGCGGTGGTGAGGGGGAAGGGTGAACTGCTTGGCGCGAGGTTAGCGGGCTGTGAGCCTGGAGATCCGGATTCTGGCCGGGCTGTCACAGCTGTGTGTCCTCAGGCAAATTACTTAACCTCTCTGACCTTAGTATCCTTCTCGGTAAAGTGCCAGCCATAACACTTGGCTCATGGGGATGTTGGGGGAATCCAGGAAAATAATGCAGAAGTGCCCGGTACAGAGCCTGGCACGCAGGAAGCGCTCAGTCAAGTGGGTGGGAGTGGATAAGCCCAGAATGGGGATTGAGGCAGCCAGGAGGACGGCGGCTGCGGGCCAGGCCGCACCGAATGAAAGACCTGAGTGTCTGGAGCCGCCTCCCCCCTCCCCAACTCTACCCGCAGCGTTTGTTCAGGGCGGAGGTCCACACCTGGCAGTGGATTCGGGACCAGGGCCACGTCTACACCGCCCACAGCTCCGTGCCGCCTAAACTTGGGCAGTGGCCCAGCTGGCCCTGGCATGCGTCGGTAGAGGCTGAGCCAGCCTGATTGACCTGGGGTGGGGTGGGGCCCACTCCAGGACCTTGGTGCTGCAGCTCCAGGGCTGGGCTCAGCCTGCCTGGCAAAGCACCCCACCCTGGGGCCATTTGGTTTATTTCCTGCTTCCTCCCAGCTGACTGAGGGAGAGGGAGTCAGGGGAGCTACCCAGAGCAGGAGGTATTAATCCCTGGCCAGTTTACACCCAGTGATAGCCGAGGGATTGGGAAGGCCGGAATTTGAGCAGACAGAACCTCTTCCTGGGCTCTTGGGAGTCCCGGTGCTGCTGCCATGTTTCCTTCTGGCCACGACTGCTTAGTCCCCAGACACCTGGGAGGCTTTAGGTTCCCTCTTCTCAGTCCCAGGTAAATTGGGACTAGACACTGTGGTGCCCGCACGTCAGTCTCCCACCCGTGCGGTGTGGCAGGCCTTTCAGCCCTCACACTACCACGTGACGTTTGTACAGTTACAAGCTCCAACTTCTAGAGATGGAAAGTGAGGCCAGGAGAGGATACGTGATCTCCAAGGCCTATGGCCAGAAAGAGATGGTCTCCAGACGTGGAGCGGGGCTGGTTCCAGAGCCACCCTGTTCACGAGGACACAGTTCTGCCTCCGACGTGAGCCGGACGCTCTGTGTTCTGGGCCAGGTACAATGGCAGAGAAGGTGCTGGTGACCGGCGGGGCTGGCTACATCGGCAGCCACACGGTGCTGGAGCTGCTGGAGGCCGGCTACCTGCCCGTGGTCGTTGACAACTTCCACAATGCCATCCGTGGTGAGCACGGGGCCGGGGGGCTCTGGCTTCGGCTGCGGGTGGAAGGAAAACCGTGGGTTCCACCGCCACCTCCTGTGGGTGCATGTGTGTGTGTGTCTGTCTCTCTCGTCCCTTGGGAGCCCAGGACCCACGTCCTCTTTTGATGGCCTCCCTGTGCTCAACCAGGAAGGGGCTCCATGCCCGAGAGCCTGCAGCGGGTTCAGGAGCTGACAGGCCGCTCTGTGGAGTTTGAGGAGATGGACATCTTGGACCAGGCAGCCCTACAGCGTCTCTTTAAGAAGGTAGGTGCTGGGCAGGCAGGCAGGGGGCACCGCCGAGGGCCCGGCCTCTAAAGCGACCTCTGACCCTGGCTTCGCCCCTGCAGCACAGCTTTACGGCAGTCATCCACTTTGCGGGCCTCAAGGCCGTGGGAGAGTCGGTGCAGAAGCCTCTGGATTATTACAGAGTTAACCTGACCGGAAGCATCCAGCTGCTGGAGGTGAGCTGAGCGGCAAGGTCCCAGACACCAGGAGACCCCAGCCAGGCGGGCCGTGCCAGACACAGTGGCTGAGGGCCTGGAGGGGAGAGTCAGGCGGGGCCCAAGCTGTACCATTTTAGACACATGTCTCTCTACCTCTCCCCACCTCTCCGCCTCGGTCCCCCCATCTGTAAACAGGAGTGCCCAAACCTCAGCCCCTCTCACCTGTGAAGGAGGAAGGGGGTGGGAATACCGTGGGAGGCAGAGGCCACTGATGCCTCCCCTCCGTGGCCAGATCATGAGGGCCCATGGGGTGAAGAACCTGGTGTTCAGCAGCTCAGCCACTGTGTACGGGAACCCACAGTACCTGCCCCTGGATGAGGCCCACCCCACAGGTGGCTGTACAAATCCCTACGGCAAGTCCAAGTTCTTCATCGAGGAAATGATTCGGGACCTGTGCCAGGCAGACAAGGTGAGGGCCCCCCCTTGACCCAGCCCTGGTCCCACTCATGGACTCAAGGCCTCCTATGAACCTGAGGGTGGAATCCCGAGCACCACCCACCCAGGAGGAAGGGAGGACTCTGGAAGTGGCAGTGACCTGCCCCACGTCACAAGCCCCGGGTGGGGGGACCTCCCAGGAGGGGGGGTGCAGGTAAAGAGCTCTGGGTTCTGCCTGCGCACGGCCTGCACACCCCCCCCCCCAGCTGACCTGGTCCCGCAGGCCTGGAATGCGGTGCTGCTGCGGTATTTCAACCCCACAGGCGCCCATGCCTCGGGCTGCATCGGCGAGGACCCCCAGGGCACCCCCAACAACCTCATGCCCTACGTCTCCCAGGTAAGGGAGAAGGGGAAGGTCAGGTCACAGCTGGTGCCGAGGGCCTGGGAAGAGCTGACCTGACCTCCATCCCAGGTGGCCATCGGGCGACGGGAGGTACTGAATGTCTTTGGCAACGACTATGACACGGAGGATGGCACAGGTGAGCCCAGGACCAGGGGGAGAGTGAGGTGCCACAGACACGGTATCGAACACCGCCCCCACCCAACCACCTCCTCCGCAGGTGTCCGGGATTACATCCACGTCGTGGATCTGGCCAAGGGCCACATCGCAGCCTTGAGGAAGCTGAAGGAGCAGTGTGGCTGCCGGGTAGGGAGAGAAGGGAGAAGCGAGGCTGGCGAGGGAGATGGGGGTCCAGAGGGGGTAGTTAGTCCAACCCGCTCCACCACCCGTTCTCCTCTCCTGGGCAGATCTACAACCTGGGCACGGGTACGGGCTATTCGGTGCTACAGATGGTCCAGGCCATGGAGAAGGCTTCTGGGCAGAAGGTAGGCCGGCTGTACCCCAGCCCCACGTCGACCCCCCTGCCCTGACTTTCGAGGCGACCTGAGCCCCTCCCACTAGCCTCCCTGATGGGTGTCCCAGCATTGCCCAGCTCCTCCGCCTGCCTGCGTGCTGGGTGCCCACACCTGCGTTTGAGCCTGGGCAGCAGCTGGGTGGGCGAGGCCAGGGCCGGCTCAGCTAAGCTACAGCCGCTTCGTCTCTTGCAGATCCCATACAAGGTGGTGGCACGGCGGGAAGGCGATGTGGCTGCCTGTTATGCCAATCCCAGCCTGGCCCTCAAGGAGCTGGGCTGGACAGCAGCCTTAGGGCTGGACCGGATGTGTGAGTTTCCGCCCCCACCCCTGACCTTGGGTGCTGGCTTGACCCCTCGGAGGGAGTCGGGCTGGGCAGGGGCTGCCTGGGTCTGAGCACGCCCACCCGGGGCTGCCCGAGATGGTGGCGGTCCTGCGTTCCGATGTGGACCCTCACTCCACCCTTCCCCCCATCACAGGTGAAGATCTGTGGCGCTGGCAGAAGCAGAATCCTTCAGGCTTTGGTGCGCAGGCCTGAGACCCTCCCGTACGACCACACACCAGAAAAGGAGAGAGAAACTGGCTGCTCTCCAGCCTCTGGGGGGAACCCAGGGGCCTCAGCCTCCCCTACCTCAAACCCAAGCTGGGCCTTCTCAGCCCACCAGGCATGAAGCCAAGGGCTCCATTGACCAGGAGTTGGGGGGATCCCTAACTCTTCTCTGCAGCAGCGTCCAGGAACCCATCAGGACCACCAGAAGTGAAGGGGGGAGCAAGGGTCCTGAGACAGGCACTAATTTATACTGCTCTGAAAGCGCTTTACGAAGTATTTAAAATAAAAGTTTTCTAACACTGGGGCAGATTCTTGCACGCGATCACTCTACCCCTTGGATAGAATCATCCAGCCTGAGAGTTGAAGCAATTTAATTATTTTATCGGAATCGAGGACACAACAAGAAAAACACCCAAAACCACATGGAGACAGAAGACAAGACACAACTCCTCCCCCACCTCTCCCCTGGCCCTAGAGCGGGGACAATGTGGGGGTGGGACAGCTGGGGGAGACCTTGAGCCTCAGTCCAGCCCTGCAGGCTCCAGGCCCGCAGGGGAGCAGGGTAAGAGGGAGGCAGGGCCCAGCCCCCGCGTTGGGGGGGCTAAGGGAAGGCCCCCTTTGAAGGACTCTGCCCCCTCACCAACACCCCTGCCCAGGGGCAGGTAGCCCACAGCAGCACAGGGGCCCAGGGCCATGGACACATTCATGATTGAGAAGCAGCTGGAGGGAAGGAGAGACCCACGATTATCTGGGCAGAATCACTTGGGGGTGGAGTGGTAGGTGGGGCCAAACCCTGAGGTCACAGGAGGGGGCCCAAAGCGGGGCTAGTGAGTGAGGTCCTGAGTGAGTGGGTCAGCGGCTGGGCCCCTTTCTCCCGCTGCCTACAGCCCCTCCAATACTGCTGCCGGGGGGCCCGCCTCCAGGGACACGGGAGAGGTGGGCGGCCCACCCCCTGCTGCAGACAGCCAGGTGGCTGAGGCCAGGAAGGAAGGCCTGGCCAGGCCTCGGCCTGCCTGCCCCAGAGGCCTATGGGAAGAGGACAGGTCAGGGATGGTGGGGACAGGGGCTCGACCGGCTCAGATCCAAGATGGTGCCGCGCGTGCTGGACCCCCAAGAGCTGGGGGGCCGCGCTGGGGGCCGCCGCCTCCGGTCAGACGGGAGGCAGCAGCTTCTCAAGGAACTCCTTCACAGCTGCCATCTCCTGGGGGTGAGGAGGGATTGTGAGCGGCTCCCGGTTGGAGGGAGGAGGGAGGAGGGAGGAGGGCGAGGGCTGGGCGTAGGCCGGGGCCCCTCATCACTGACCTGAGGACAGGAGCTGTGCATGACCCCTGGGTAAGTCTTGAACTGGACCCTGGCAGGTGTGACAACGGACCGGAGCTTCTCAGCCGTCAGGGCCCCAAACCGTACTGGAACCATGGGGTCCAGCTCCCCGTGGCACTGAAGGATGGCCAGGTCCTTGGCACTGCCATTGGCTGCCTGTGGGCCAGAGAAGACCTCCAGGGCAAAGCCGATGCTTCGGCACAAGCCCCAAGCCACAAGGAGACTCAAAGGGCAGGAGTGGGGTCATGGAGACACTCACCTGGGGGAAGGCCCGGTGCAGGGGCAGCCAACAGCTCAATGCCACAATGCCAGCCAGAGGGTGGGGACAGGTAAGGGCCGTGTAGAGGGACAGAGCCCCACCCTAGAGGGAGGAGAGAGTTAGAGGTCATGAGGACGCAGCTCACCTACCACCCCCAACCCCTCTCTCTCTCCCCTCACCTGTGAAAAGCCTCCCAGGACGATTCGGTTGGCAGGGATCCCATTCTTCATCTCGTGCTCAATCAAGGCCTTGACTGGGGGGAAGGGACATGACTGGGTAGGGGAAAAGCTGCTGGGGGGCCCAGGGAAGGGAGCCAGGTACTGCCTAATGCTTTCGCTGGCGGGGGGGCGGGAGGGAATGGAGGGGGAGGAGGGGGAGGAGAGCAGGTGCTGAGGAGGGGCTGGGGCCTTACTGTTCTGTGCTGCCTTCTTGATGCCAGCCTCGTCCTCTGGGGCATCTGGACTCAGCCCCATCAGGTCAAACCTGGGGGAGGAGAGGTGTTGGCTCCCGGAAGACCCTGGCCAGCCCCCTGCAGCTCTCTCAGCTCCCATCCTTCCCCCTACGCGCCCCACTCCCACTCACCAGGAGGGCATCACCATCTTCATGTTGAGTGTCACAGGGATCCGGGGTCTGGGGAGGGGCAGCGAGAAGGGCCATCATGCGCAGAAGGGATGAGGAAGCCACAGCAGAGAGCCAGGAGGGGGCAGAGTAACCCCTGGGGGGCCCCTCCCAGCAGGCAAGGCCTGTGTTTAAGGTGTTGCCAGGCAACCTGCCACGTGGGGCTGGAGGCTGTGGTTGGGGCACCAGCAGAGAAGCAGAGCCTGATACTCGGTGTGACGGGGTTCCAGCTCAGTGGGTGAGTACTTGGGGGAAGGGGCACAGGGTCTCCCGGTTCTAGGGGATCCCTGGTCTAGGAGGGCCTAGGGCCGGGGGCTGGGGCTGCACCTCCAACTGCCCTGGGCTCAGGCCGCAGGATGCAGCTGACCGCACAGAGCAGGCCCGAGACCGCAGGACCACCCCCCAGCGGATCCCTTGCAGGGGTGACACTCACGCATGGGGACAGATGTACTTGACGTGAGGGAGCCGGATGGTGGAGAGGGCGTCAGCCCAGCTGTGCCTTCAGGAAGGAAGCGAAAACCGGCGCCCATGTGGGGAGGGGGAGAGGGAGGGCACAGGCCCCCTGATCCTGCCCCCCGGCCCTTCCCCACCTTCCCAAGGCAGTACCCCCTCCCTCTCCAGCTCACTCACCCTGTGTCTCCGAGTCCATGTAAAAAAATAACCTGGAAAAGGGTCAGATTGGGGACGTGGGAAGAGGGCAGGCACCAGCACCCTGCTCTCACGGCCCCTCGGCCCTCCAACTTCGGGCCAGCCCCCGCGCCCCCGGGCACCTGGGGGGACCGTGGTAGCAGCCAAGCAGGCTACGAACCCGTTACCGCCTGGCTCCAGGTTGCTCCCTTCTCAAATGTACCACCTCCATTTCCCCCACACCCCTTCCAGCCAGTTTCCCCGGCTGGGCCGGGGGCTGAGCCGGGGGCTGGGCCGGCGGCTGCCGAGCACAGGGGAGGACCCTTACCGCGGCCGTTTCCCGCTCAGCTCCAGACACAGTGGCAGCATCGGTGAGCAGGGGCACAGACATGGTGTTACCACACATACACTGCAGGCTCCACGGCTGGGGCCTGTGCAAATTTGGGGGAGTGGTCAAGAGCAAGACCAGGCAGGGGGGAGACCTCCCTCCCCAACTGAGGGCCCACTCAGAATGTCAGCGCCCCATAACACCCTGGTTCTGTCCTGGGCACCAAGAAAAGGCAGGCAAGAAGTCTCGGGCCAGAGCAGGGAGGAAGTTTGCCTCCATTCCAGGGCTGAAACCACAGTCCCTGGCTCTGGCCCACCGCACAGCCCGAGCTTGCCGGAGACCCAGAAGGGCAGAGAGAGGGCTTAGGGACTGTGCGGGAGGGGAGCCAGGGCATCCCCTGCTGTCGTCCCCCCACTAACTGCCTCCTCCCTGCTCTCCAATCATCGTGCCTCTAATAGAGCCCCGGGTTCCCTCCTCCCCAACTCCCAGCCCTACCGGGAAATGAAGGGGAGAAAAATGCCAGAAAAATATGCTTTCAGCCCCTACCCTCAACCCCCCCCCACCACACGCACATTTTCTCCAACCTCCCCCCCCGACATCCAGCCCCCACCCGGCCTTCACAAGCAGTTTCTGGCTCAGCCATTCCCTGAGCCCCCAGGGGCTGCCCATGTCCCCAGAAGGCACACAGACTCCGGTCCACTACCCACCCTGTAACTGGCGCCCCACGCCCCCACTGAATGGGGCTACCTGCTGCTGCTAGTGCCTACTGAATCCAACCAGGTCCCCCAGTTTGACCATGCTCTGGGACTCCCGAACACACAAAAGAATGTGTGGCTGGTTGGCTCCTCCCCATCCTTAGCATCCTCCCAAGTCCCCAGAAGCCACCTGCCCCTAAGCGCCTACCCTTCAGAGTGGTGCCCACCCCCCACCACCCTCCCCACCTGCTTCAACCTTCCATCTCTGACCCTGAGTGCACCTCTCCACGTGGGATCCCTCACCTCTGACCTCGGGGTCCCTCTTCCCACACGGGGATGCATCTTTCGCCCTAAGCTGGGATTCCCTTCCTTCCTGGCTGGGAGACTTCCATCTCTCACCCCAGGGTCCCCCCTCTCAAAGTGATGCCTCCCCCCACCCCGACAAGGGAAGGAAGCTCCTCAGAGTAACTACTTCCACCCTAACCCAGGGTCTCCCACTCTCCACACTAGGAACGTCTGTCCTGACCAAGGGTCGCACCCTGCCTACTGTGACATTTTCTACCCTGAGCCAGGACCCTCTCTCCTGCCCACAAAGAGGCGTTCTACTTTTGACCCCGGGGAGCCCCAGCCCCACAATGGGATCTTCCACTTCCGACTCTTAAGTCCCTCCAATCACAGCCGGACGCCTTCTTGCCCCACTCTACCCCCAAAGTCCCCAAGACCGGCCAGCGCCTCTTCGCACCTCACTCCCCGCCCCCATCCCTCACAACTGCGGTCCCCTCCCCACTCGCCGGGACCCCCGCGGAGGTCCGGCCTCTCCTCCCCCCGCCCGGTACCCTCCCTCCGCCGGCTGGCCCCGGACGAGGGTACCTCTACTCCCTGGGGGTTTCGAGACCTCTCGGGCGATTCTCCTCTTTCTCCTGCAGAGACACACACTCTTCCCCCTCGGCCGCCCCCGCCGGAACTTCCGTTTGAGTCCCGGGAACCCAGCCATCGCGCTGCCGGAAGTAGCCTGGCCAGCGGTACGGAACCCGGAAGTGGGCGTCGGCGATCCGCCAGATAGGAGCTGCCATGTTGGGTACGATGGGGCCACTCCCCGTAATGAAGCCACGGAGTCACCTGCAGAATCTAGACAGCGCGTCGGTAATTCCCGCCTGCTACCACCACCCATGCGCCTCCTAAAGGAAAGCTATCCGGAAGGAGAGGCACCCCTCACACTAGCAGTTTTGGATGGATCATACACTGGCTGGATGGCATCATACACTGAAGACATCCTTAGAGACCATCCAGTTCTCGTCTTATTCTAAAGATGAGGAAACGGACGCTCAGGGAGGGGAAGGAAACAGCAATCTCAGGATGACACTGTAATGCTGCCTCTCTGCATCTGCTTCCTGAGCTATAACACGGTGATAAACACCACCCTGCCTACTTCACAGCTTTGCTGTTAGACTCAAATGAGGTCGTATGGAAATGCTTTATACACTGAAAAATTAGTGAGGACTTAATGCCTAAAAAGTACCTGGGAAAACAACACAGGTCACAGCAGGACAGCTGGACAGGCAGTGTTGTCTTAGCTCTGCCCTCAACAAGCAATGCCATGTGGACAGTGAACAGAATACCATCAATGAGCTCCAGTTTGTTAAGAACAAAAAGGCCTTCATTTTGTCCCCATTTTCCTCCTTGCTGCACTGATAAAAGTGGAAATGGGTTCCGGGTCCACAGAAAGGCTGGCAGGGGAAGCAAACTGAGTTGAAGGACTATGTGGGCATCTACAAACAGGAAATGAGTGATGCTGCTACCTACAGTAGTTTTCTTTGAACTGAAAGAAAACAGTAAACTTGGGAACTCCAAGCACTTTTCCAGGCTGAGAGGCAGTTTGTCTTAAGTGCTCAACAGGTCACAAAGACAGAGCCTAAAATACTAGAATTCTGAACAGGAAATCTTTGGAGTCCTGAGGACTGCAACAAGCCAAAGAACCAGACTGGATGTCAGAAAGGGATGAGTGTGCCCAGACCACATAATTGCGAGCCACCGCCCCAGGAGCCCTGCTAGGTCTGCTTATAGAAGAGTAAACAATTCCTCCTGCACCCCCAATCCCCTGGGACCCTGGGGCACTTCTTCAAGTTCTTGGAACAAATTCTTCAGAGTAAAGCTTCAAATTCAGAAGCCCAGTCCCAGGGCCTGCCTGTGATTAGGCTTTAATTAGCGGAACTAGCGAAGGGATAGTCTGCTCTAAGATTTCTAACTTTATTTTTCCTCCTACTCCAAATTTTAAAACATAGCCTTTAATCTCCAAAATGATCCAACTGAAATAAAGAGGCTGTGGCTGAGGAGTAGGACCTTTAGTGCATCAAGAATTGCGTTTGCACTCTGGTTGATTTCAGGTTACATTTTAGAAATCTTGAGGCTTGACAAAGCTTGGCGGTGGCACGCTTTCCCTTGGACAGGCTGGAGAAAGTGTGGGCCAACACTTCAGAGGAATTCTTTCAAGTGGATGAGATTCAACACTAATTCCCATTATTCACTGTTTCTATTTCTGCAAAGGAGAGAATACTGACCATCTCAAATCCCCTCATTTTAGATACTTAAATTGTCTCCAGTTGCTGTCTTGACTTACAAAATTTAAGTCCAGTCTTGGGTCCACATGTGCTGCTCACTTACTTTCCTTGCTCTCATCTCTCCTGGTGAGCTCCGGAATCTGTTCTTCCTTGTTTTGTAAATGTCCCTCCATTTTGTAAACGTTACTTCCTCTCATGAGAAATGGAACATCAGTTTGTAACCTCACCTTCCTTTTTACAAAGTGTGGGTGGGTGGCTGTAGGAGTGTTTTTAGTCCAATGTATCCTTCCTGAAGAAAATAATCTAGTCTTAAATATCACTGTGGCACTATGACCTACCTAGTACAAAACAACAACAAAAAATTTCAAAGTTCCATACTAGTTCTCAGTAAGGTAAAAGTTTCATCAGTACTACCAAGAAATCAAAAGAATATACAAACATTAAGTCTGGCAAAGATTTATTAGGAAGCTTATTAGGTATGGTGAATAAAAAGCCATGAACAGAAGAACTGAGATCTCCAATTTCTGGCATTGCGCTTACGACACTAGTTAGAAGCTAATAAACATTAAGCATGTCCCAAGGGGAATCTTACCTAAGTCCCACTCTTATCCAACCAGGATAACTCACAAACACAGAAATGCCCATGCTCTCCCGACTGCTTACCTAGGCAGTAAGAAAAAAAGAGCTCCTCAAGCTAGTAGGCATCATCAGGAGATTCCTGCTCTTCTAGCTATAACCACGGGACACTAGTACATGACAGACAACTCCAAGCTGGGCAACTTGACAAGGATGCTGAACGCTGACAGGAAGAAGGAGCAAGCAGGGACAAGTATTTCTAGTTGGAGACCCTCCTGATGGCTAATAGAAACACAATGCTGAGGCTTCAGAAAGTTTACTGCAGCCCAGGAAATAGTTTCCATTTAAAAAAAAAACAAGTCACACAAAAATCCTGCCACAAAGCAACAAGACACTTGGGATCCCATGGCCACACTGACTGGAAAGGCAGACATTATCTAATGACTGCCAGATGCTGCCCAGCCCAAGACTCAATTTCTAGGCCCTAGAGAACCACGATTGTCCCTCAGCACCCACACTACCCTCCCTGGTGGTGTGGTATCTTCCATAGGCCAGGTTTCTGCAGCAAGCCCCAAAGACAAAGCTTGGCAGAGGCTGTGGCACCAACTCTCTCTGGAACCCTATCTCTTTGTCTTCCCCAACAGGATGCTGTACATCTTCACCAACACAGCGCCTCTGTGGGAGCCCTGGCCAGTCTTAGGAAATGAAGTGTGTCTGTGGGGTAACCTGATGGACCCTGTGGTCTGCTGGGTTGGCTGATGCTTCATAATTGCAGATGGTCACCTCATGTCGGCGAAGCTGCAAGAAAAGTGAGAGGCTGGGTCAGCTGGCCATTTCCCAGACCACACACTGGAGTAGTCCTTATTCAGATTCATTTCTGGAAGTCATCTCTTCCCCCTTTTGACACTTTTATCCGAGTAAGACTGCAAAGATCATTATCAATGATTCACCCCATAACTTAAAAGATTCGTTACCCCACTATTATGGCGCCACCACGAAAAGAGGACCTTATCTACCTTGTTTATGATCTTATCTCTGGGTGCCTGGAACAAGAACAGTTATCAAAAATGTCAAATGAAGAAAAGAATCTCCAAGTGAAAGAAATCGTTATCAACTGTATTATTTCAACTCCCTTAAAAATACCTACAGCCTGTCCAAAGAAATGGACTGTTTATAGTAATGAAACCAAGAAAAATTATACACAGACTGAAAGCAAGTAGTATCTCACTTGCTCTTTTTTCCTTTCCTTGGAGTGCCCATATCACAGCATACAAATGTATACACACATATACGTGCACGGGGGAGGGGGGATGGGGGGTTGGTCATGCTTCATGCCCCTTCTTACCTCAGTCCACTCTCCTCTCAGACCAATATACAAGACCTTTGTGGTATCAGCTCCGAAGTTTTTTGAAATATGGATTGAGAGATGATAGACGTTTGAAAAACGAGAAATTCTAGAGAACGAGAGGAATGGGGAGAGAAGACACAGGTTAGAGGTCAATGAATATCTCACCACCAGGACAAAAACAACAATTCTAGCTCCAACTTGTGGTAAAACCCAGGTAAATGTCAGAGAACATTCTGGACTCTTATGTATCATTCTTCTCTTTCGCACAAGAATTGATTCAGTGGAAACTGCCTGAGCATCTGCCAGGTCCTGCTCCAGGCAACAGGAATAGAAAAATGAGTCAACACTGCCCTGCCCTCAAGGAGCAAGAATGAGAAATGCTGTTATGACCAGGCAGGGATTCTAACACAAGTTCGGTGTTGATCTCACCAACCTTACCATTAGGAAAAAGAACCAGTGAAGACATAAGGTGGTCTTGGGTAACGTGGCCTATTGTAAGCCCACTACGCAAAGAGGAATTCTGAAAACATCTTTCCTAAGACCATCCTAGGAGATCACTCAGATCTGTCAACTGCTTACAAGTTTAACAAGTCTATGGCTTGCACTGCATCTCTGCCCAAAATCGACCAAGCCAAGGATCAAGTTTCCTCCACTGTTTTAACTTGTTTCTCATGCTAAGAAAGCAGGAAATGGGCCAAAATTGAAGTGCAAGCTCAGTAAGTGCTAATGCATGTATGTTCACTGCAAGTGAACACCTGCTGTTCCTCAGAAGCCAGAGAGTGGAGACAGGCCAAGTGCTTACTTTGTAGCATACTCTAATTCTCCCGTAAGATCCCGATTCAGACTAAAGGTCTGATCTGGTTCCCTGTCTGTATCATCAAAGGACATCTGTGGAATGTTTTTGTACCTGAGAAAGGGAAGAAAAATCAAGAAATGTGCATTATCACATTGTTCATATTTTTCAAAACTTTTTTGACTCAACTGCCTTCCATTTTATTAAAAGGAGATCAAATTTTAGGAATGGCATTTTACTGGCATTTATACACAAATATCTTTAAACCAACAAGAAAAGAGCTGAGAACTGCAACATAAGCCAGTGGCATCTTTGAGTGGGTTAAGATCACATGAGAAGCAATACACAAAGAGGAGGCTCAAATCAGGTCACGTGCAGCAAATGCATGGAGAGAATCAGCAACTCAGCACATTCAGACAAAGCTGAGGAGGTTAAATAAAACAGCTTACTCATGGGAGAAAAAATACTTTTGGCAGAAACCTATTAAACAGAGTTTAGAGATAAGAGCAGGTAACTTAACGCTCAAGCAATTTTTGTGTTCAAAATTACCCTGTATATTGAGTCCTCTTCAGTTCTTTTAAAAAAAAAAAAAAAAAGAGCACAAAACACTGCCAACTCACAACGAGCTTTGGAAAGTCAAATAAAACTGCTAATGAAGAAAAAGTTTTCCAAAGAAATATCTAGGAAACAGCTGTCTCGGGCGCCTGGGTGGCTCAGTTGGTTAAGCGACTGCCTTCGGCTCAGGTCACGATCCTGGAGTCCCGGGATCGAGTCCTGCGTCGGGCTCCCTGCTCAGCAGGGAGTCTGCTTCTCCCTCTGACCCTCTTCCCTCTCGTGCTATCTCTCATTCTCTCTCTCTCAAATGAATAAATAAAATCTTAAAAAAAAAAAAGAAACGGCTGTCTCCTCTATAACTCAGAGATTCTAAAGCCCTAAGCCACACCTCCACCATCTCTAGAGTGTTTTATTAACACCCACACAGGAGGGGCCTAGACATTAGGGGCAGCAAAATGCATGTAATTTAAGAAAGCAAATGTTTGCTTCAAAGTGTTTCTAAGAATGATGCACAGAATAATAACAGTGAATATTTATGAGTAGCATTATGAGAGGCAGTGTAGCACTGTACTTAAAAGCAGTGTCGGGGCGCCTGGGTGGCTCAGTCGTTAAGCGTCTGCCTTTGGCTCAGGTCATGATCCCGGGGTCCTGGGATCGAGCCCTCCATCGGGCTCCCTGCTCTGCGGGAAACCTGCTTCTCCCTCTCCCACTCCCCCTGCTTGTGTTTCCTCTCTCGCTGTGTCTCTCTCTGTCAAATAAATAAATAAAATCTTTAAAAAAAAAAAAAAAAAAAGCAGTGTCTCTGGAGCCAGACTTCTAGGCTTAAAGCGTGGCTCTGTCACTTACCAGCTGTATAATTTTGGGCAAGTGATTTAACCTCTCTATATCTGTTTCCTCATTTATAAAGTGGGGACAGTGATAGTACATATCCCATACAATGATGAGATTAAACTGAATCAATTCTAAGATACATATAATTTAAAATTTTTACCATGGAAAATTTCAAATATATACAGAAGCAGAGAAAAATACAATGAATCTCCACTTATTTATCACTCAGCTTCAACAATCAACATTATGCCTATTTCCTATCACCCCCATTTTGTTTGTGCTTGATATTTTAAAGCAATCCCAAACATTTCACTCATACTTTAGTATGTATTTCTAAAATGTAAAGACTTAAAATACCACTCTTAAAATGACATTTTACAAAAATTGACAATTAACAATTCCTTAAAATCATCTAACACCTAGTCTGTGTTTAAATTTCATTAAGTACCATTTTAACTTTTCTAGATGTGTCAGTGGCATGTCACAGTTGAATAAGCAAAATTTTTTTAATTAATGGCATAGATTTGATAAAGTATAATGTATGTAAAGTGCTTAGAAACAAGGGCTATGTATTTGTACCTGCCCTACCAAAATTAGGCATTTATTATGTTCCAGACTTACTCTAAGCTCTTTACATGTTATGTATCATTCAATTCTCTCCACAATCTTATGAGGTTCATACTATTACTATTGTCATTTTACATACGAGAGCACTGAGATAAAGAGATGTCCCAAACGCATGCACCTAACCAGCGGTACAGCCAGAATTTGAACCCAAGCAGTTTATTCCAGAGCCCACTCTTAAAACACAATGCAACACAGATTTCTAGTTTTCTGAAGCCAATCCATCTCCCCAGTAAACAAGTCTCCAAAAGCATCAACTCAGACGTACGGTTTCCTTAACATGATTAAATATGTGGGTTTGCTTTCAGATTCATGTTTCCAACTTTCAAAAATAGTATCAATTTCTTAAATCTCTCAAATTGACCAATTTTTCAGGAAGAAATTTTTTTAAATATAAAGTTCTTCTGGTATTTTTTTCTCCAGCACTCAAAAAAGTTTTCCCCTTCTTTTAGGAAGGCTATGCTGGACTAAGGCAAGCTGTCAAAAATGGAGTATTAACCCTCCTAGCAACAGATCCAGTGTTGCAAGAGGTATACAGAACTTTGCCAACTAAAGGGCACGCACACTCAGATGGAGTAGTAATTCCATGTCAACAAAACACACGCAAAGATTTTAACTGTGTGAAATAACAAAGGTAAATTTGGAAACTAACCCCAAGAGTAGAAACCACCATTTGAGATCTGCAGTTGGGTTACTAAGAAAACTGCAAAGTCATCGACAATTGGCATTTATAGGATGTTCTCTGGATGAATGGTGCCACCGCAAGTACTTTGAAAAGACACAAGCTGTTGGCCCTAAAGATGCTTAATCTAAAAAAGGTCGTTAATTCAGGAAGAGATAAGTGTATTCTGATGAAGAACAAGACCAAGATTTTTTAAGGGGGGAGGGAATATTTAACCCAGTAAAAAGAAAAAAGTGTGTCATTCTGGAATAAAGTGCTACCACAGAAAACAGAACTAGCTTCTTGAGAGCCTCAGCCCTCGCGCCACTTACAGTCTCATCTCAGAGGGGTGTGAGTCATCATCCTCTCCCATTATAATGATGCCTTTGAGTTTGACATTGCCTGTAAATCTGCCAGAATGCAAAAGAAGTTGTCAACTTGGGTATGAACTTTTGCGCAGCTGTGTGACCCTGGACAAGACCCTTCCCCTTTCTGGGCTTCAGTTTACTCATGTGTCAGACTTGTACCAGAACATTTCTAAGATCCTGTCTGCCTCTGGCATTCTGCAGTTCTATGAAATTTACCTCGACTCCTCAGTTATCTTTCAAAAGATACATCTTTATGCTTTCCTCCTCAAACCCACCACACTGTAATTTCCCCCATTTCTAGAAACAGATGTGTGCCCTTGACACACCAATGAATGAATCCTGAGAAGACAACTGGGTACAGCCTGTCTAGCCTGACGCAAACACCAAGGAGATACTTACGGAATATTAAACAGAAGCTCTTCATCTGCATCACTTTCAACAAACTGGAGGGGATGGGGAGTGGGGAGGAGAAAGCAACAAATATTTGCTGAGAGCCTACAATTTCAGGCATTTTCCACCCTGTTCCATGATCGGAGCGCAAGGCAAATAGTCAACCTCCCTCGGTTTTCCAGCACTTACTAACTTGATGCTAATAAGTTAATAGTCCTTAAATGGGGAGCCCGTGAATGAACTTCCAGACCCAACTAGCCTCCACAAATTGTGTGTAAAAATCCGTGCCTGTGGGGTCCACAGCTTTCAAACGGCTGTGTGACCCCACAGTGGTAAATGCTCTAGAAAGAATAACATGCTCCATCTGCCTAGCCTGCCTTTAGTCTTCATCAGGTGATTATGATCAGGCAGCCATTGGGACTAGCAGTCAAACAGTAGGGAAAACGCCCTCATGGCCATCCTCCGCTACCTCCTGAAGCTCTGGAAGAGAATATTGGCGTGTAAAGCCAAAGCTCCCCTTTCCCTCTCTGGGCCTTAGTTCCTCTATCTGCAAAATGGGGAGACTCGACCCTGTTTTCTTCCCAGGGGGCGGGCAGGTGACGGGCACGGGAAAGCGCTCGGCAAGCGGGCTGTCGTTATTTTTAACAGCAGGACTGAGCCCGACAGGGCAGACGGGAGGCCTGAGCCCCGCGCGGGTCCCCGCCTCGCCCTCCCGCCCCAGGCCCCGGAAGGCCCACCTTGGAGCGGTCGGTCCGCTCCTCCCACGGCTTGAAGACGCCGCGGCCGCTGCCCTCACGACTCTCGTTGAGGCACTGCAGCCGCTCCAGGTCGATGCGCAGGTAGAGGCCGTAGGCCAGGCCGCGCTGTTCGGGCGGCTCCTCCCGCTCGGCGGCGCAGCGACAGCCGCCCCCGCCGTGGCTGTGGCCGTGCGACATGGCGACGCCGCCCCCCGCGCGCCCCCTCGGCCCTGCCGCCGCCGCCGCCGCCGCCCGCGCAGCGCTCGCCCCGCTTCGCTCCGGCCGCCAAGCGCTCCGCGGCGGCCGCGTCGTAAAAGGCGCCCCTGAGCGGCGCATGCGCCCGGGGAGAAAGGGGGCGGGGCTCGGAGAGGGGTTGACGCTTGACAAGCGCTTGCAGGTGCCAGGGAGTCAGACCTGGAGTCAATGCTATCGCTCTTTCCGCTACTGAGGTGTGGAAACTGAAGCGCAGAGAGATTAGGCTGGCGTTCCGAGTAAATGATGGGGCTGGGATTCGAATCCTCCTCCTCATTAGGCTAAAGTCTGTGCTCTTTTGCCACCAGCGGTTTTTGGGAGTTGGTCGAGGAAAGCGTGCGCAGTGATAAGGCCCTGAAGGGTTGGGAGCACTACGTTATCGCTGCTTCACATGTGCACCTGCAGGCATTTAGAGCTCACAAACTCACTTTCATAACCACTCTCTTCATAGTGGGCTTAGCGGTCGAGAGCAGGCTTCACGGACGACCGGACCTGGAGACAAGTCCTGGGTCCGCTACTAACACTGTGACACTCTGAATAAGTCATTTTCCCCATCCTGAGACTTCGTTTTCTCGTCTGTAAAGTAGGAATACGTTTCATGGGATCACAGTGAGTATTACACGAGATAATGAACTTAGAGAACTCAGCACAGTGGCTGACACATGGTAAAAATTCAAAAGCTGAGTCACATCTTGGTTCAAATCTAAGCACCGCAGACTTCCTAGCTATGTGGCCTTGGGCAAGTGACTTAACCTCTCTGAGTCTCAGTTTACCACCTGTAAAGTACAAGGATTGGAGTAGATAATCTTTAAGTCCCCTTGCCATGTGACATGTCAGAGCAGTTTTTTCAAATGGCTGGTTGTGACCCATTAATGGGTCTTAAAACCCATTTAGAGGATTGTGACTAGCATTAAAAGAAAAAAGAGTATATAATTTAAAAATTCAGAATATATCACACTTTTAAGTTTCAATTTATAGAACTTTTGTTTCAGGTTTGTGTACTCAGGTGCAATATAAAGTGTTTTTCATATCTTGGGTTGAAGTCAAAAGAATTGGAAGCCAATGTTTAGAGTTGAAATGATTTTGTTTTTTTGTTTTTTTTAAGATTTTATTTATTTGACAGAGAGAGACAGCGAGAGAGGGAACACAAGCAGGGGGAGTAGGAGAGAGAGAAGCAGGCTTCCTGCAGAGCAGGGAGCCCAATACAGGGCTCAATCCCAGGACCCTGGGATCACGACCTGAGCCAAAGGTAGACACTTAATGACTGAGCCACCCAGGCACCCCTAGAGTTGAAATGATTTTGGATTCAGAGTAGAATGTGCTCTTACTGCTGGTGGGGAGGGGGAAAGACAGAGGATGTAGAGAGTGTTATGGGATACTCTGGATATCCCTTGCCCTTCATGTCTGGCTCTCGAGTGTCCAGACTAGACTGGAGGCTGGTGAAATACAACCTAAAATATCCATCTGGTTAAGTTCCACTCTAAAAATATTTTGATGTCTGGGGTTCCTGGCTGGCTCAATCAGGAGAGCATGTGATTCTTAATCTCAGAGTTGTGAGTTCAAGCCCCACATTGGGCGTGGAGCCTACTTAAAATATTTTGATGTCCTAGTTCAATTCTTTGTGAAATAGGCAAGCTTGGTTCTGATTCAGAACAGCACAATGTCACGAATTATTTCTACTTTGCAATCACAGTTTCAGGCCGGGAGCCTGGCACATAGTAAACGCTTGGCAAATATTTGTTTAATTGAATGATACACTTAGAAGCCTTCCTTTGGGAAGACCATGTCCCACTGCAGGACTAACACAGGCCTTACCCAAGACAATTACTCACTTTTGGCTCCTTTCCTGTCATTCTCATCATTGTCATCCTTTACTGATTTATTGAGCACTAGGTTCCAGGCATTATACTCGTAATTCTGTAAATTACCTGGGCACTTCTTTTCTGGGCCAGTTTGGCTTGGGCTGGATAATTTAGAATGGCCTCACTCACATGTCTGGTTGATGCTGGCTCTCCGCTGAGGCGGTGGGGCTATATGCCTCTAGCAGGCCACCTGAGCTTAGTCATGTGGTGGCAGTTACGGATTTTTAGGAACAAGAGAAGGAAGACCCAATTGCATGAGCACTTTTTAAGCTTCTGCTCCTGTAATCTTTGCTAATGTGCCATCAGCCGAAACAAGTTTCATGGCCAAATCCAAACTCAAGGGTGGAGGTATTGACTGCACCTTCTGATGGAGAGAACTACAAAATGCTGTGGCTCCTTTCCCCCTCCTCCCCAATATTTCTGTATTAATTATCTTTTGTTGTGTAACAAATTACTCCCAAACGTAATGGCAAAACAAGTTAGTATTTATCTCAGTCTCTCTGAGCCAGGAATTTGGGAACGGTTTAGCTGGGTTGGTTCTGGCCCAGTTCTCTCATGAGCCTAGAGTCTTTCAAGGCTTGACTGGGGCTGGAGGATCCACTTCCACGATGGTGCACTCACATGGCTGGCAAGTTGGTGCAGGCTGTTGACTGGAGGTTTCACTTCCTTGTCATATACACCTCTCCATGGGACTGCTTGAGTGTCCTTAGGACATGGTAGCTGGCTTTCACCAAAGCAGAGAGAGCAAGGTAGAAACCACAATGTGTGTGTGTGTGTGTGTGTTTTAAAGATTTTATTTATTTATTTGACAGAGAGAGACACAGTGAGAGAGGGAACACAAGCAGGGGGAGTGGGAGAGGGAGAAGCAGGCTTCCCGCCGAGCAGGGAGCTGGATGCGGGGCTTGATCCCAGGACCCTGAGATCATGACCTGAGCCGAAGGCAGACGCTTAACAACTGTGCTAGCCTTAGAAATCACATATTGTCAATTCTGGAATATCCCATGATTCCATAGGTCAGGCATATTCAAAGTGTGAAGAAACTGTGTCAGGGTACAAATAGCAGGAGACAGAACTCGTTAAAGGCTGGCCACCACACTTCCATACATGCTAAGTGATCATTGACAATGTCTATTTTTCTCATATGCTTAATTTAACTGAAGATAAAATTCATTTAGAATTTTGAAGATATTGCTGTTTTCTTCTAGCTGTGAGAAGTACACTGCCATTCTGATTCCTGATTCTTTGCATGGATGTCCCCCTGCTCCCTTTCTGGAAACTTTTAAGCTTTTCTCTTGGTCCCTGGTACTCTGAAATGTGATGATGTTGTGCTTTGTTGTGGCTCTTTTGTGATTCACTGTGCTGGATACCTGATGGACCCTTTCAGTTTTGAAACCTTAGAACAGAACGTAAGCATACAGGTGCACAAGGCCCCTTGCAGGGCAATGCACTTAGGGGTATAAAGAGAAGGGGGCATGGGGCTACGGTCCTGCTTTTCCACCTTCCACCACCTTCTAGTGCAGAGCTCCGAGAAGCCCAGAAATTTGGATGTGGCCTTCCAGGTCATTGTGAAGGTTTATTTTTCAAGGTAGCCCAACAGACTGTATTTTATATAACAGTTCATGAACTCCATGTATAACTTTTTTTTTAAAAAGATTTTATTTATTTATTTGAGCGAGAGACCCAGAACATGAGCAGGGGAAGAGGGAGAGGGAGAAGCAGACTCCCCACTAACCAGGGAGCCTGATGTGGGGCTCGATCACAGGACCCTGGGATCATGACTTGAGCCTAAGGCAGACGCTTAATCGACTAAGCCACCCAGGCGCCCCTCATTTATAACTTTTCAGGTATGCCTCCATATGTACTTTTGCCCCAGTCCTGGAAATATTAGGTATGGCCTGCTGGGCAAGTTGCTTAGTTACTTTCGTCAGATTTGTCATATCTAAAATGGGAATAATAAGAATACCTACTCTGCAGGGTTTTACTGTGAGGGTAATATGAGATCATGCATGGAAAATGTTTGGAACAACGTCTGGTCAGTAGGAAAACAGTTAGTGACTTACTGTTGCTAAGAGCAAGACTTTTGACTCAGTGCCCCCGTCTGGTTGGATGGGAAACTGCAATTGCTTAAAAGGGGGCCGGGTTTGAGGGAAACCAGCAGTTGCAGAGTAATTTAGCTCTGATTTGGGAATAATGCCCTTTCGCCTCTGCTTACTGGACTTACTCTGCCTGTCCCTTCTCTGGAACTCCTGTGCTGCAGGGATGACTGAGAACAAATGGAAATTCTCACTGACTTCTAGGACTCCCTGGGGCAGGTAGGAAAAGTTTCCAGTTTTTTCCTTTCTCTCATTCCCAGGTTCATTGGCAACATTTCTGTGGTTCAAGGACTGCTAAATTTGTGTCTTCTCACCCGTCTTAATTAGGCTGGGAGAAGCGAACTGTTTTTCTTTTATTTTTGGTTGCCTCTGTGTGGAAAGCTGAGAGTGTGGTAAGAGAATAGCTAACAACCACATGGTGCTGAAAATGTGCCAAACACTTGGCCACAGGGTCCCTAGGGCTTTACTTATATTGTGTTTTAATCTTCATAATTGCAGGTGTCCTATTATAATCCTCATTTTATAGATGATAAAACTAGAGTGCAGAGAGGCTTAGCGACTTGCCCAAGGTCACACAGCTGATGACTATTGGAACCAGGATTTAAACCCAGGCAGTGTCCATACTCTTAACCACACTGAACCTTCTCCAAATATTAATTAACATTACTGAGTATTTCTGAGTGCCAAGGTGAGACCCCAGAGCTCAGTCTCTTAACCACCAGGCTGAACTTACCGGCTGGGTTACCTTGGACATTCATTTCCCTCAAAGCTTCAGTCATAACAACAATCCTTTACTAAAAGCCCATTCCATGTGGGGTACTTCACCTTATTCATCAACATCCTGGCTAACATGTCCTGAGCACTTTCTATGTGCCAGGCACTGTCTTAAGTGCTTTATACGTTTTAACTCATTACATCATTGTATAATAGCTCTATAAAATATATTTTCCTCATTTTTGGAGGAAGAAACAGAGACACAGAGAGGTTAAGTGACTTGGTGAAGGGCACACAGCCAGGAAGTGTGGGATTTGAAACTGGGTGGCCTTGCGGATTACCTGAGGGTCCAGGCTGTTGTAAATGCTTTGGGAGTCTTTGGTGCTGTTAGC